CAAAATTTTCATTATAAATTATTAACAATTCCATTCCAATATATTTATATCAATCGTACTCATATAATTTATACAACATAAAAATGCATAATCAGAGTAAAATTTAAATATTTATTCTTAATATTTTATTTTATTTTAAATTTAAATTTTTCTAAAAAACAAAAATAAAGCTCCTTTAAGATTTTTTAGCTTTTTATAATATATAATTAAGATATATTATATTTTTGCCTTTTGTAAATTAAAAATGCATTTCACTCTATTTTTATTTTATTTTTTTTTCTGTTTTAATTTGGAATTAAAATTAAAATATAAATTACCATAAAGAATTTTCATTCTAGATTCTTTTTAACTAATCTACTCATCTTATTTACTGTTGAAAATAGCTTTTATTCTTCTTATCTATTGACTTTATTATTGCTTTATTTTAATTTAAAATAAATTAAAATTATAATAAAATACATCAATATTATTAAAGATAATTAAAATTTAAGTAAATAATATATTTTACTAAATAAATAAAGTTAATCTTAAAATATTCTTATTGCGATTAAAAGCAGAATTTAATAAGCGAACACCTTCAGCTCCTATTCTATTACGACTATAAAATAAGATATTTTTTTAATAAATAACTAAACTGAAATCATTGGTTTATTATAAAACTAATTATTTATAAATGTAAATTAATTTTTACCTTAAAATAAGGGATAATCCAAATATATTTTGGCACTGGTATAGTAGATTACTAAAGCTTGATATTCCTAGAGGAGAAATCTTATTGTTGCTTATAAATTTTTTAAATTTGTTTAATAGAATTTTAATTTAAATATTTAGAAAATCTATTAATTCATACTGAAGGCTAATTTCTAAAGTTTAGAGATTTTTGCAGTGAGAAATAGAAAAGATCAAGGTATTAACTCCTACATCTTCAATTAAGTTACTGCTATAAAATAAAATTTGAGGTTTATAAGTAGGAAAATGAGTAAAATTAGGAAGTTTTTTAATTTGCTTCTTATTGATTAATTACAATTGTAAGTTCAATGATTATAAAAATTAAATACTTTAAATTTATTACTAAATCTATTAAATTTATGCAGTTCTTGATGCCAGATGCAATTCTACATACTTCTTCATCAAAAATAAAATTATTGCTATTTTCGTTTTATTTATACAACAAAATAAATTTAATAAATTTAAAAATGTAAATTAATATATCTCCAAAAGAAAAAAAAAATTACTCTAAATAGATTTATAAAGTTTGCAGATTTAAGCAATTTATAAAAGCTAATTCTAAATTAGTTGGATTAGTTCTATCAAGTCGAATACTTCTGTAAATTTATTAAAATATTTATATTAACCAAATCAAATTAATATAAAAAAAAATGATTTTACTATAAATTTAGCTTTAGAAACAAAAGATTGACACATTTAGATAAAGCCTAGCTTAAATAAGATGTACCTTCTGAACTAATATTATTATCACTTTTTATATTCAACAAAGTATTGATTTAATTTCAAAATTATAAATTAGTAAACTAATTAATAAACTAAATTAAAAATCAAATATTAAAAACTAAAAAAAACAGGAAAAGCTAGAGTAACAATAAAGTATTTTATAAGTAGATGAAAGTAAAAAATAAGTAAATGCTTAATTTAATATTTTCTAATTTGTTTATATTAGTAAATAAATACTTTAATTAAACAGAAAAATGGAAAGTAGAAAATTAATTTAATTTAAATAGTAAAAATAATTAATATGGCTTTTAATTTTTTTAGAAGGGAGGTTTTAAATAATGATTCAATTATCTCGCTTTATTTTTTAATCTAAGTAAAAAAATTTTGTTTAAAAAAATTAATTCATTACTACGATTAAAAACCCAATTAAATAAATCAATAATATTTCTTATTGATTGTTTAAAGTATTGAATATTATTTCTTAAATCAAATTAAGTTTGTTAAATAATTTCTACATTATTCATTCAATAAATTATAAAAAAAGAATTTTAATTTTATTTTACGAAAAATTTAGAGTGATGCTTTTCATGTTTGTGCAATTTGCTAACCAAGTAGATAGAGCATTAACTCCTTCGCTATTAAATTGGTTTTAGCTTTAATTTTATTTAATTATAATTAATAAAAATTCTAATCTGATAAATATTTTATTTTATTGTAAAAAATTCTAGAAAATAATTTTTTATTTGTTAAAAAAAATAAAACAAACATTTTAATAAAAAAATTTTCTTTATTTAATTGTCTATTATTTTGTTTGATATTTACCTCATATTTAGATTTAAATATGTTAATTGCTTATAGTCACTTAAAGTAGCGGTTAAGAAACATAAACCTGCATTTCCAATAAAGTTAAAGCTTTTATGCAAATAAATTAAATTTTAAAAATAAAGAATACTATAAAAAAACTAAAGATTTAAATTAAATAAATAAAGTTTCACTATAAATTAATGTTGAGACTCCTAATATTTTAATATTAAGTCAAAGCAATACTTAATTATGATATACCTTCATCTTTTAATACATTACGCCTTTAATAATAATAACACTTTACTATTAAAAATAATATTAGTAATTATTATAATTCTTTACTCTAAATCTAATTCTAAATCTGTAAGAGAAAAAAAATCTGAACTGAGAAACTAATTTTCATTTAAATAAAGTTAATAATATATAAAAATATTAAAACAGTAAAGTTAAATACTTATTTTAATTCAGTGTACTTTTTAGATGACATTTTTCTTTATATAAACATCTCTTTTAAATTAATGTATTGAAAGTTTTTAGAAGTGATGAAAAAAAATTTAAATTCTAAGAAGTTTAAAATTATAAATTAAGACTTTTTGGACTCAAAAATTAAATTTCTTTCTTTTAAAAGAAAAAATATTGCAGTATTTGTTAAATAGCTTGTTAATTCTGACATAATCTTAATTAAAATAGAAGAAGAAATTATAAAAGATTTTTTAGTTATATTGCAATTTATTTATTCTTTAATGATAATATCTAAAAAATTGCTCTATTTTTCTATTATAAAATAAAAGTATTTTTATGATAATATTCTCATTTTTTGCATTTAATTTATTTAGAATTAGCAAATATGCTTTTTAAAAAAATTTGAAAGGCTTAAATTAAAACTATTTATTTTAAACATTTTTAAATTGATTTTTAATAAATGTACCTCAACATAACAAACATAAAACATATTTTATAAAATATTTTAATTAATTTCATAAATTATATATTAAATATTCTTTTTCACCATATATTATCAAGATTCATAAAAAACCATAATCATAATAAAAGATTTCGAATTTGATTAATCTCTTCATTTTAATAAGATTTACTCTTAGCTTACTTTCTCCAAAGAAGTTATCCTGCCTTTTATTTGATAATTTAATATTAATAATTTGTGTTTAAGATAAAAAGTAATCAATTGAAAAGATTAAAACTAAATCTGAATTTCAATTATAAAAAAATGAACCTTATTATAATAATAAGCTAAAATAATAATTTAAAGACTATCTATCTATCTATGTATACCGTTTTACATATTTTTGTTTTTAGAGCAAAAAAATATAAAACTAAAATAAAATATTTACTAAACTTGAAGGTATAAAGTTGATATATAGGGACTTTTTGCTAAATTAGAACCTAATTCTTATAAACCCTTGCAGTTGATTTCATTTCTTCTTTTTATATTATAAGAAAATTAAAAATCAATAAATTTGAAAATAATTTGTTAATTTTTAATAAAATTAAAATCTGTTTATCATTTTGAAAAAACATGAATAATTAAGTAAATTAACAAATAGAGCTAAATCTTAATAATAAACAAAAAAGTTATTCAATAAAATCATGACATTAATTATGTCTTCATTTTTGGACTCTAGCTTGAATATATGAAAACATGTAATTAAAACTATATTACTTCAGGTTAAGTGTTAATTTTTTTAGATTAGCACATTTTGCTAAAGCACAAGCTAAATTCTATGCACCAATGCTACCATTTCTGCCAATTTTATTTTAACTAATAAATTTTTTCGATAAATTTTATTTAATAAAGAAGATTTAGTTTGAGCAATTAATATGGTAAAAAGAAAAAATGGAATAGTAAATGGAAAGTTTAAAGTTAAAAGATTAAGTTAAGAATGAAAAGATAAATAAATTTGAAAGAAAGATAAAATGGAAAAATTAAATATTCTATCTCTATTTTATTTACTTTATTTATGTTTTTGAAATTAGACATAATTAAATTAAAATTAAATAAATAAAATATATCTATCTATCTACCCAAGATCTAGTGTTAAATCTGAAAGATTAGAACATTTTGATAGACTCAAGCCTAATTATTTGGCACTCTTGCCATCGATTTAATTACCACTTTTTCAAAAAATTAATTAATAAATAAACATTTAAAAAAACAAGAAAAAAAATAAAGTAAAATGTTTCTAAAAGATTGAATAAGTAAATTGGAACAAAAAAATAATAGAATAATTATTCTAGCCCTAATCAAATATTATTTTAATCATAAATTTTATATATAAGTGATTAATTAATAACTAACTATGGGAAATATTAAAAAAATTTTTAATTCTTATGTTTGAGTTTGATTTTGCTTATATAATAAAATTAAAGAAATATGGAATGCCTCAGGTGGCTAGCTATCTATCTAATATATATAAAAGCATAATTTTCATAAAACAAAATAAATATTTACTTCATCTTTAGTTCCAAGACTTTAAGTTTTGTACACATTTCTAAACTAAAAGCTAAGTCTAATGCACCCTAACCACCAATCCTACTATCACTTTATAAAATTTTTAAACAATTAAAAAAAATAACATATAAAGCAAGAGTTTAAAATAAAAAATTAAATAGATAATTAAATTAATTATCAAGAATTAATGATCTGTATATTGAATTTAAGTGAGATAATTTTTTTATAGATTTCTTCAATTTTTGCTTTTAGATAAAATTAACGCATAATATTTTACGTGAAATCAAGTGATAAAAATTATAGATTAGTACACTTTTACAAAGAATATCCTAGCTCTTCAGCTGCATAAGTTTTAAACTAATTGTAGCTTTTTATAATTTCGATAATAAAAACAACAAAAGTTAGAGAAAAATTTTTAAATAAATTAAAAAGGAATGAAAAATCAGATAAAAGCAAGTAATTAATAAAAATATGATTAATTGGTTGCCTGCTATTTTATATTTACTTTAAAAATAGTTTATAAATAAAGTTTAAAGAATAATCCATACAAAAAGTTGAGCTTTAAAACTGAGATATTTGTACATTAAGCTAAGCCAGAGCCTAAATTCAACAATCCTTATGTTCCAATTTAATTATAACTTTTTAAATTTTAGAAATTAAATTATAAAAAGTTTAAAGAAATATGCATGTTGGATAAAGTAATCACCAAAAAATTTAATTATAAATTTATACACAGTATTGTGAAAATAAAATTAGCTCTAAGACTACTCAAAGAATTTATGAGTGAATATATGAATATACTATTTAAGAAGCTTAAAATATATAAAAATTGATTGGTTAAGAAATTCTATTAAAAGTAAGTATGTTGTATTTTTTTTACTTATTAAAATAAATAATACAAGATAACCAAATTAATTATTTTTACGTAAAATCTAGTACTAAGGTTGAGAGATTTGAAAATTTCGCTAAAGCAGAACCAAACTCTGATGCTCCATATTCAGAAATTTAATTATAACTTTTCATTTTTTAAGAAGATTAGTTATTTTAAATGAAAGAAGTAATTATAAATTAATTGTAAAAGAAAATTAAAATAAAATTATTTATGTTTGATTAATTAAAAAGTAAGTGTTAAAAAATGAAATTCTTTTGAAAACTATTAATTAATTGATTAGTTTAGTCAGTAATTAACATATTGAAAAAAATAAATAAGCAATAAATTAATTGTCTGGCTATCTTCCATTCTTTGCTTTATAAAAATAAATAATGAGTAATTTTTACTTAACATTTAATTAAAAATTAGAGAGATTAGCACATTTTGCTAAAGAAAAACCTAGTATTGATAAACCCTTATCACCTATTAAATTATCCCTTTTTATATTGTAAAAAAAAAATTATTACTCTAAATAAATCGTTAAGTATTAATAAATTTTATGATAATTCCAAATTTTTTTATATACCAGATTAGATACTATAAAATAATTAAGTATATTTTATTAAATATAGTAAGTGTAATAAATAGATAAAATTCTAATCAAACAAATCAATTTTATTTAAATTAAGTTTATAAATATTTTAAAGTTAAAAAATAAGTATAAAAAACATAGTTACTAAAAGTCAAGTTTCAAAGTTGAAAGATTAGACAAGTTTGCTATTGCACAACCTAAGTTTGATGCACCATTTTCCAAAATATTATTTTTTCTTTTTTTATAAGTTATTGATTATCTTAGAAATAACTTAAAAAGCTTAAAATAAAAATAAAATAAAAAGATAATGTATATTTAAATTAAAGCAAAGAATTAAAAAATTTGATGTAGAAAATTATTAAATAACTTTATTGTTTTTTTTATATTAATAAATATTATATGAAGCATTAAATAAAGATAGTTAAATCATCATTCATACTGGAGACCAAGTACCAAAGCTGATAAATTAGTCATTTTAGCTAAGGCTTAACTTAAATCTGACACCTAATAGTCACCAATAGAATTATCTCTTTTTTATTTTTTGAAAATATTAAATTGAATATTTGAAAAAAATAGAAGAAATTTATCAGAAAAAATATAAAAAACAATAGAAAATAAGTAAATAAAATCAAATAAATTTTTTTACTTTAGCTATAAATCCAAAACTTAGAGATTAACACACTTAACTAAAGTAGAGTTTAGGTTTGACATTCCTTATTTATCAATTGAACGAGGACTTATTGTATTTTTACAAAATAATTAAATGAATGAAGATATAAAACCATAAAATTTCAAAAATAGTGTAAAAAAGTAATTAGGCAATAAATTAATGAGAATATAATATTTATATTAATTAATTTTAAAAATAAGTATTCAATATAAATATTAATCTAATTTTTACTTTAGGCTAATTTCAAGATGTGTATTAGATGAAAGCAAAGAATTTTAAAACTTTTAATTAATAAATATTTTTTAATAATAAATAAATAAAAATAAAGAATTACATCTTCTAAATTTACAAATATGTTTTTTTTCTAGCTTTTCATTTTTATTTTCTTTCTTTCTTGCTTGCTTGCTTATAGTTTGAAATTGTAAATTTTACGAAAAATTAATTTTTAATTAATTATTTGATTGATATAATTTGAATTTAATAAATTTAAATACTTATTAAAATATGATTTTAAATATTCTTTTATTATTATATTAGTTAAAATTTTCTACACTTACTAGACACAATATCCCTATTAGATTAATTAGTAATAATGCTTGTTTTTATATATTCTTTTAGTATTATATTAATTAAATTTTTCTACACTAACCTAGACACAATATACCTATTAGATTAAATAGTAATAATACTTATTTTATATATTCTTTTATTATTATATTAGTTAAGATTTTCTACACTTACCCAGACATAATATATCTATTAGATATAATAGCACTTAAAAAATAATACTCAAAGCTATATAAGTTTCTTTAGTTGAACAATTAATTTTTTGTAGGATTAAAAATTAATTAATTAATTAATTTATTTATTTTGAAATGATTTTTAAATTTATTTTCTGAATTAAAAAAATAAATAAAATTTCATAAATTTAATAAGCAAAAAATGGAAATCTTATTCTTAATATTAAAACATAGGCTTATAACAGATAAAATCCAATTTATTAACTAAAAAAAGTATAAAAATGTAGCATATAGAGTTCTCTTATTTATTTTTTATGATATAATAATAAAGTATGTCAAATAAGATATTAAAATATCAGAATAATATTATTTAGTAACTCAGATAACGTATTGATATTTATATAGTATTACTTATTATAACTTATGATTAAGATAAGTATTTATAATCATTATTTTTTTTTTGCATATATTAAGCATTGAAAGATTTTTTTTAGTCCATGTTTGTTAGAAAATTCTTGAAATAATATGCTTTAATTTAATAAATTAAATCTTAATATTTATCAATGTCTTTCAAAGCTTAATGTGATTAAAAATTATAAACAAAAATAATGAAAATATTTACTAATATGAGAGAATTAAAATCATAATAATTTAATTTAATATTTTTATAGTGATTTAGAGATATACTTTATTCCTTCAATTCTTATCACGTTTTAATTGTTTTAAAATATAGATTTCCTGCATTTGTAAGGGACTTTAAGAGTTAATTTTCTAGAATTTGACTAAGGTATAAATTTGAGATACTTTACATTACCTCTTTTTTAATAGGTAAATATTTTGTTAATAGTAAGTATGCTTACAATTTTTTTGAAAGAATTTATATTAATTTTTAATGAACAATAATAATCTTATCTAATATTATTTTAAAATTAATAATAGATAGAAAGGTGATAAATTAATCTAAACTTAATAATCTTTTTAGGTTAAATCAAAAATAAATTATTTAATTTTAATAAATAGAGAGCTAATAAAAATTTATAAAGAGTATTTTAAAGTTTATAAATAAAACCAAGTGTATTTGGATATTGTTATAAATTTTTTGATAGTATAATGTATATATAATGAAATTAATTACTATTTAATCAATATATAGATAGATTGATAAATTTGTATTATATATAAATAAAATAACGTTATTAAATCAAAATACAATTTTAATCTAAAAAACATAACATAATATTTTCTCTTATTCACTCACTCACTCATTCATTTGTTTATCAGTAAGTTATTTATTATTCAATCAAAAATGTTAATAATATTTTTCATCTGCGTTATTTATTATTCAATCAAAAATCTTAATAATATTTTTCATCTGCTAACTTATTTTTATATATTTAAAGTAAATAAAAAATTTTATTATTTAATATTAAATTCTATTCATAGATAAATTTAATTATATCCATTTATTTGTATATTTTAAATTTTTAAAAAAATAATTTTAAAATACATCGTATTAAACGCTTATATGACTCCAATTTTTACTTATTTCGAGCTTTTTTAATAAAGCAACACTTTCTTCAGATTAAATTTCGATATTTCTATTTAAATAATAGTAAATAATAAGTTTTTTAAATTAAAATTAGTTAATTTAAGTTTGATTAGTTTACCTTAAATCTAATTGTAATTAATTAATTGATCTACTATCTGAAAGAGTTATTGTAATATCTTTGACTCCTTTTTCATTTATTTTATTGTTCCTAATAAAATAAAGCAAATATAGTAATTATTTAAAATTTGTGAATATATTTTTAAAAATAAAAGAAACCAATTAAACTTTAATAAAGTATTACCATAGATCAAGATTTAAAATTAGAATATTTTTATTTTTTTTTAAAGCATTAGAAATATAAATAATTCCTTCATTTCCTATTTAGTTAGAGCTTATAATAATAGAAAAAGTAATTTAAGTATAGAAAAATATAAATTTTATTTTTAAAATATCTTATTCAAAATTAAATGAAAATAAATATTAGTAAATTAAATATATTTAACTTAGTAAAAGATACATTTATTTTTTTGTTTATTATGAATAATTATTTTTTTTTATAGATTAAAATCAGATTTAAATCCAAATATTAAATATTACATCATTTAAAGTTAAAATTCAGTTATATTTATTGATTATTCTATTAGATTTGCAATTTCTTTAACTCCTATAGCATTAATTTAATTTTTTCTAATTTAAAATTAAATAAAAAATTAAAACTTTAGCATGAAAATTAATGAAATAGTTTTATTCAAAATAATTTAATAAAAGAAAATAAATAAACAATACCTTAAATCAAGATTTAAGCTTCTAATATGTTTACAATCTTACAAAGCTTTTGCAAAAGTATTTGTTTTTTCATCTCCCATTATATTTTCTCTAATAAAAAATTAAACGTTAGAGGAAATCACAGTAAATATAAAATTAAATAAATGTAAATATTGATAAAAATATTTCCTTAAAATTTGATACAAAAATTACCCTAAATTAAGAGTCAAATTAGTGATAGTCTAATTTTTTTATATAGATTTTGCAATAAAAAGGAGTCCTTCTTTGCCAATAGAATTCTTACTTTTAAAAATTAATAATAATTATTAAAAATTTTATGACAGAAAAAATCTGATTAGAATGGTAAAAAGATTTATTAATATCAAGAAAAAATCAATTTAATTATTATTTATTTTAGAAATTTATTTTTAAATGTTTAGCAATAAATAAAATTACTATAACTATAGACTCAAATTACTAATTCCCTTAAGCTTTTCTATGGCATTAGCGATTTCTTAACATCCTTTATCTCCAATATTGTTAAAACTGATTAATTATATTTTGATTAACTAAAATATTCATTAATAAATATAATAATTTAATATATTTGGATTAATAGAGTTATTTCTTTTAAATTTTTTTGTCAATAAAATTAAACTATAAATCAATGTATCACTTTAAATTAAGACTCAAACTATTTAGATTAAAACAACTTCCTAAAGCATTTGTAATGCTAGAAAGTCCTAAGGAACCTATAGAAGGATTAGCTCTTATTTATAAAAAAAGATTCATGAAATAAGAATTTATGAATGAATGAATGTATAATTAGTTAAATAAATAAATTTATAATAAAAATTACTATAAATTCAGATTCAAACTTGTAATATATTAGTTATTTAAAAACAAATTTGAAATACATCTTGCTCCTTCAATTTGAATTTAATTTTTTCTAATTAAAAATTAAAGATAATTTTTTTCAGTAAACAAAAAGTGGATTGATAATAAAAAACCTTAAATTCAGATCTAATTTTTTAACGTTTTTATTATTTTTTAAAGCATCAGTAATAATTTTTACTCCTCCATCTTATATTTAATTTTACCTTTTTTATTAATAAAAAATAAAATAATTTTTAAATAAAAACATGTTTTAAATTCAAATTAATAAAATAATTATTTTAATCTTAATTAAATTACCACAAATTTAGATTAAGTTCAGTAAGATTCTGAAGACCCAATAATTTTTTTGAGATTATTTCTACACCTTCAATTCCTATTGTATTTTTTCTATTAAAATAATATGATTATTTGATAAAATATTTTTATCTATTTATTATTTAATCATTATATGTATATGTATGTATACATGAATTAGGGATATACAGAATATTCGATATTCGGTATATTATTTTTTATTTTAATTTTATATAAATTTCATAATAAATTTTTTTTTATAGAAGAGTGATTTTTCATAAAATATGGTAAATTAAAAATGAATAATTAATATCAATTATTACGCTAAGTCTAGAGTTAAACAAGTTAAATTTTAAAATTTATTTATGGCCTCACAAATATTTTAAACTCCTTCTTTTTAAATTTTATTACTATTTTCAGTATTTGGATTTTTTTCATCAGAACTATATAAATTACAATTAGAATAAATAAATTCCTGTTAAGAAAAAGTCAATTATAATACCCAAAATCAAGATTTAATTTCTTAATTTTTTATAGTTGGCTTAAAGCTCTTGCTATTAAGTTAGCTCCCTGATTAGAAACTCGTGAATGTCTTTAATAAATAAAAATAAGATATTATTCCAAAATAAGTAATTACTATTTTTAGAATCAAATTAAATATTAAGAATCTACTTTAATTCAACCTACAAATTCTCAAGGTTTTTTAAGCTTGCCAATCCCTCTGATAATATGCTAATCATTTCACTTGAAAGATTACAATAGCTATTTATTTATTTAATTATAAATTTAAAAAGAACAAAAAGGATAAATAAGCTATCAAAAAATGAAAAAATAAAATTAGATATTTTTATAAGCAGATCAGCTTTTGAAAGAAAAATTTTAATACCTTAAATTTAGACTCATATTTTAAATGGAAAGACTATTATAAACCATCACGTCCATTAAATTTCTAACATAATCTATTTTTATTCTATTTTTACTTTTAAATTTTAAATGAATTTAGATTTTAAATTATTATTTGGAGTAAAAAAAATTTAATTTTTTATCAGCTTTTTGAGTATAATCATCCATTATTCAAAAAAAAATTTTTTATTAGAATAATATATTTCCTAAAATTTAGATATAATTGTTAAGAGATATTTTAAAATATTTTTATTATTTGAATAAAGAAAATAGTTTATATCATAATAAATTACCTAAAATTCATATCTAAAGAAGATAAATTCTTGTTCTCTACAAGTTTATTTGAAACATTAGTAAAGACATCTGAATTAATGTCTTTCTCTCTATAGAAATAAAAAAACATTACTCATTGAAGTTAAATAGATTTTAAGAAAAAAATTATTTTGATAAAATAAATTATGAAGTAAATATATTTTTTCTAGATTTTAAAAATATTAGCTAAAAAAGTTTGTACTTAAAAAGTATTTTAAATTTGATTTAATATTAGGAAAATTAGTCAAAATTTAAAGATAAAGACCAAAAATATTTATTAATGAATTAGTTGACTTTATTTTAAGTGTCATTCAAAAATAAAAAAAATTAAGTTTCAATAAGTAAGTGAGTTATTTTTTTAATGAATATTTTACTTAAAATCTATGACAACTTTTTTAACATTTGAGGAGCAACGTTGTAAATCTATTATTTCTTTTACTACAAGTTCTGAAATATCTTGATTTATATTAATGTTAACTTAAAAAGTGTCTAGATTGCTAATCAAAGATATTATTTATTATTTGATCAGATTATGAGAATCTAAACAAACCACAAATTATTATTCAACATTATTAATCAAGTTTTCAAGATATTTTTTATTTTATTGCTCGTATTTATTGTTTTGTCGTATGATTTCAAATAGCATTTTATTTTATGTTTCTTAGTTCCCATACTAGGTTTAAATTATTTCCTTTAGCTTCTCTTTTTGAGAAATAATATTGTATTGTAACAAGCAATAATTAAGACTCTAATCAAAATTGATCTAATGCTATTCTACATTCTTCAGCATTTCTTTTTTTTTCAATTCTAACAATTGATTAATTATTAATTACAAGCTTTTAAAATATTCACAAACTTTATTTCTATTTTCTTCTACTAATGGCCTTATTTTAGTAAATTCAAGAAGTTTTGAATAAATTTATGAATCTTATTGAATCGGCCATCCTTTTAATATTGTTTTAAAGTCAGAATTATCAATAAGATCTAAAGGAATACAATTTATTTTTTATTCATATATACATAAGTTACACTTAAGTATATCTTTATCTTCCTCTTTATCTAATCTAATAAAAGTAATTTATTAATTAGGATGAATGGAGCAATGTTTTCTATTTTAAGAATTTAGATTTAATTAATCCATCTATTTCTTTTTTTGGTATTTTTCTTTTCTTTTTTAATTAAATAATTATATAGTTTTTGATTTTTTGATTTTTTTTAAAGGGGCAAATAAAAATAAAAGTGTTTTATTATTTTAAATAAAGAAGAAGAAATTATTGTTAAGTATCTTGTACTTTATATTATATATTTGATAATTGCAGTGTATTTTTTCTATAGCTAACAAACTACTTGTAAAATAAACTAATTAATTATTTAATAATTTTTATATTAATTGAAAATGTTTTTAGTTACTTTTATATTAAATTTTAAAAATTAAAAAATTATTTGTTAATTTGTTTATGATTAATTTTTTAAAAATCAATTTTAGCTGAAAAAAGCTTGTTGGTTGAGCTTAGTACTAGATAAATATTTAGTTGTAATATAAGTAAATAATTTTTAATATAATTAAATGAAATTTTAATCATAATTAAAAAAATATTTCAAAATTGGCAAATGAAAAACAAATAGAGAATTTATAGTTTGCAAATATATTTAATATTTATTAATTTATCTGTAATTTTTAATTAATATTTTAGTAAATTGAGTATTATAAAAAGAACTAAATTAAATTTTATTTGTAAGCATTATTGATAATTTGTGATTAGCATCAAAAAATATATCAATCAAATATAGTAAATAAATTTTAAAAATACAGTTAAAAAATAATAGCTTATTTTAGCTAGATAAAGTATTCAGAAATTTATGATGGTTGATGGGTTGATTTACAAAAAAAAGTATCAAAACTATGAATAAAATTATTATTTCAAAAGAAAGAGTACTTTTTATTTTGTATCAATTTTAACATTATGCAAATTTTTTTAAAAAAATAATAATATTAAACTAATTTTAAATCTATAATAATGTAAATTTTATTTTTAAAATTAATTTAAATACCTAAAAGAGTCTGTCTCCAACAGTAATTTATTAAAAACGTTTACATCTATTTTAATTGATTATTGATTTCTTTTTTAGATTAAAATATGTTTCTTTTACTGAATTAATTGTTTTTTGAGCATATTACAAAAGATTAAATTTTAATATTATTGTTGGATTAATAAAAAAATTAACTTGCTTTAAAAATTCTAAAGATATTATGATAACTAAATTTGTAGCTTATTTAATATGTTTGTATATAGATTAATTGAAATAATACAATGTCTGAGTAGTAGTTTCAACACAAATTAATTAATACAGTAAATTGGAATAAAGTTAAGTAGGAATAATCAAGATATATTAAATAGGTAGGTAAATAATTAGCTAGGTAGGTAGGTAGGGAGCTAACTGATTATTTAAGAGTAAAGTCATAAATTTTTAAATACTCTTACGCGTTATATAATAATGTTTCAGTTCAATATATGTAGGAATTTGTTTATCAAATGCAATCAAATAACATGCAACATGAATTTTGAGGTGAAGTAAAGATAGATAGATAGAAAACACATTAATTTTTCAATTAATTAATTATTAATTAACAAATCAATTATGAATTTAATTACGATGCCAAACACCTTTACTTTTCTCAATTAAATAAGTAATTTAAATAAGGCCAACAAAATTGAATAAGAATAAGAAACAAACAAACAAAAAGGAATCAAAATAATAAATTACTGAAAGAAGAAGGAATTAGTTGTAAATGAGAAGAAGAATAATAAAAATAAGAGAAAGAAAACATAATAGTAATTAATTAGTTGAAAATAAATATATATATACAGTAAGAAAGAAACAACGACTGATTGATTGATTTAGAATCAATATTTAATAAGTATATTTATATATATATATATATTTGATATACAAATACAAAATTTATGATATCATTCAAATCTTTAGGTATAAAGAAACAGTAGACCATTGAAGTAGCCAACAATAGTTAAAATATTCAATAACAAAATTACATGAAGAGCATTAGCTCTCCGACTTAAAGCACTTCGAATGCTCTTCTGAAGAAAAGTATACCATTCAATTAAATAATTTCTTTTATTTTTTTAGATTACTTCATTTATCAAACAATTTATGTCTCTTAATATTTTTCAAACGAAACATTAATTAAAGAAATACAAGCTTAACCTTAGGGTTATGGGATGTCTTATAATCCTTCTCTTCTTTTTGAGTAGTTTTCTCATAGCAAAAATATTAACTAATCTCCTGCTTCTGCTAAACAGTCTCCGCAGTAGCATATGGGAGTTCCTTTATCCTACTTAGCTTCTTAGGATAAATAAGTAGGAATAACTGCATAGTCTTACTAGTAGCAATAAGCTTCTTTGCAGCAAAGTGAAGAAAAAAGGTCAAAATCTAGCGGGTTACAGCAAAAACCTTCTTTAAAAAAAAGCAAAACACCTCAGTTAACACCTTAAATAGCAGCTATATAGTTCGATGAAACATAGAGAAATAAGTCTCAATCTCATTAAGCAGAATAAATAAATTCGAACTAAATGTAGCACTAACAGGAATAGCTATAATTGAACTAGTCACAAAATTAATATCAAACCCAGCAATAAGGGTCTCAATAAGTAGGCTAAGTAAGCAATAATAACTACCTTTAGCAGCCTCAAAGCAAAAATGCAATCAAGATAAACTTATACAGCTCAAATTAACTTAACCCTTAGAATACAATTACAAAGAACACCTCTTTAAATTTGTTTCATAGAAAATCGAATTCAACTTAACTGTAAGCAATCAAAATATCATTTTATTTTTAATTTGTTAGCTTGCTTTGATTCATAAATCATCATCTAGGCAATAAATAAATTCATTTAAATATTTATTCATCTAACTAGCTGTTAGTTATATCCTTATCTTAAAATTGAACCAGCATTTTCTAAGTTTTAATTTATTTCAAAATGATGTTGGCTACTTTTTAACTTATTTTTTTTGAGTCGTATTTACTTTAAATTTACAAGAGTGTCTTTTTTAAGATAAATATAATACTAACTAAGTAAATAAATAATCATTTTAAGAAGCATTAGTGAATAAATAATGAACGAGTGATGATATATAGAAACATATATTAATTTTAATGTTAAAATTAGTAAATAAATTTCTTTTATAAATAAATAGAAATAAAAACTTTATAGAACAAAATTGTAATTAAAACACTTATCTAAGTGATTCGATAGCTGGAAATACAAGCAATTTGCATAACAGTGCAATATTAAATAATCTTAATAGTGCTCATTAAAGCAGTATTAATAATGGTGGAATAAATAATTAAAGTAATTCAACTAAAACCAAATTGAAAATAACTAATTACTAAGCTTTGCAACTAGTCAACAATAATCAAATAGACTCTACTAGAAATAGCGCTAATTCAAATTTGAACTAAAGCACAGTAAATTTATTTAATGGAAATCAATACAGATCTTCTAAAAATGGATTTTTGGGCTCAGAATAAAATTCAGATCTACAAACCCCAAAAACTATGCAGAAATTCTTTGGATAAAATTAAAGCGGAAGTAATTAAAATTTTTGAAATGATTATTATAAGGAGATAGAAAGAAAAAGATTAATAGATGTAATAGATGCAATATAAATTATACAATCTTTTCTATTCGAAATATTTATTTAATTTCTATCAGTTACAAAATTTTTAATTTTCATAAATTAAAAAAACAAAGTGTGAAAATGTTATCAAATTTAAAATATTTTCAAATAAAATTTATTTTATGAATTATTTTCATGAGAGCTAAACTTTAATTTACTATTTAGCTCCATTTGATAAATTTTTTAATTAATTTTGAGATAGAAACAATTTTCAAAACTAAAGCATTTATTAAAAATTAAATCTATTTAATCCAAAAAATTATTTTAAAATAAATTTAATACCTAATTAATATTTTTCAATTAGACACATAAAATAACAATGAAAATTAAGATTTTTCTGCTCAAAATGTGACCTAGAAACCTGAAAAATTCCCAAATTTAAATATTGCTAATAAGCCTGGACACCATCGAGCCAATTCAGATAAAATTTATAAATAGATTCATCAAACATTTAAAAGCTAATCATAAAGAGTTAGCAAAGACAGTGATTCTCTAAATATCAATCATTAAAGTAATGCGTTTAATTTAGAAAATAAAAGGCTGTCTGAAGGAGGAGAAGGCGGCTTAATTGATAATAGAACAAAAGATATATCAAATCATTTGAAATAAAGTTATCTATAATAGTATCAACAACAACTATAATAGCAATAAAATCAATTTTAATCTTAGCAGCAATCACATTAGCTTAATTAGTAAAGCAACCCATAATATTAAAACTAAAACTAAAATAATTCTCAAGTTGCTGATACCTCATCTATACAGTATTTATAAAGATAAATTGCTAATAATAGCTAAATACTTTATAGCACAATGAGTAACTAGAAAGGTAATGAAACTAACGATTTAGATGAGGCAGCTACGACTACAGCTAATAGCCACACAAATGGCTCTCCTCTGAACAAAAACTCTATTAACACTTTTGCCTCAAAAATAGGGTTTAAAGAAGGTTAGGATATATATAATACTGATAATCCTATTAATAGTAATATTAATAACAGCCACAATAATAATAATTCTAATACTAACAATAATAGTAATATCAATAGCAATAATAGCAATGGATTGTATTTTCAAACTTCATACCCCAAATAAAATTCATTTCGCAATTCAAATAAAGGCCTTTCTCTTGACTCTGGTAGCCTTCCTCAGTCTAAATTAGAATTCTTAAAATCATCTTAAATGAATTAACAGCAATAGCAACAACAGTATTAAAATTAAAATGGAGTATCTTCTTCATAGTAAGCTTAAAGTAGTAATGGAACTCAAAGCTTAAATAGTCCCTCTTAGTAAAGTTCAAGTTATGCAAATTAGCTACATGTAAAACTTGGCCAAAATGGATAATTACACCTATACTCAAACAAAACGAAGAAATCTTTATCTACTGCAGGTATCAATAATACAATATAAAGCACAAACTCTACTCTTGAAACTTTGAGAAAACAGCTAACAAATACATAGTCTCCTATTGTTTAGCAAGCAATGGCATCAAGTAATCTGCTTTAGCATCTTTAAAGTAGCCAAGTTCAATCTATAAAATAGAGGTAATCTTCTCCTTCCTCAAAACCGAATCTAAATAACCAGTAAGAAGTCTAATAAATATAGGCATAACAAAGTGAAGCCAATATTAACAGTTTTAAAAAAACCAAAGAGAATTTTAATTCTCAGTAAGGTCTTTTTGGATTATCGTAATCTTAACACATTCCATTAGGTCATAAAAAGAATGCACTTTCTCTAGGTAGTTATTAACCCAACTCACTTTATAATTCTTCAGTGCATGCTAGCTAATATTTGTAGCAAAACTAGACCCCTTAAAAATCACTGAATAATTCTGTGTTTTAGAACAACTAACATGAAATTGTTTCAAATTTTTTTGTTAAAAGTAAACCAGGATCCCTTCCAAATAAACCTATTAAAACAAACTAAGATTCATATATAGTATTTCCTTTATTTTGTAACAGTAAATAGAAGTTTATATTTTCTGTTTGTGATGGTCACGGCACAAATGGTCATTTGGTCAGTTAGTTCATTAAGAAGAAATTGCCAATACACATAGAGACTATGCTGAAATTAAGAAACAATGATTTTGAGTATTAATCTGTTAAACAAGCAATTACTTAGGCTTATCTTAATACTGCTTAAGATCTGTAAGAAAGCAACATTGATACTCAGTTTTCAGGAAGCACAAGTGTTCTCCTTTATTTAAATTAAAATAGAATTTGGTGTGCAAATTTAGGAGATTCGAGAGCTATATGCGCTAAAACAAATAAATGTAGTAAATTATATTTATAAAATCAATTGATATATTTAAATGTAAAAAATAATAAAATAGCTGAATGGAATGCAGTCAGTCTTTCAATAGACTAAAAACCTGATAACGAAAAGGAAAAATAAAGAATTCTATCCAAGGGAGGAAGAGTTGAACCTTACAGAGATTATTGTGGAAATCCTCTTGGTCCATGCAGAGTCTGGCTTAAATCAGAAAACATGCCTGGACTTGCAATGGCACGTTCCTTCGGAGATTAAATAGCTCAATCAGTAATTTTTATAATATATATAATAATTAATAATTCATTTATTATTGAAAATATATTAAATCATAGGTTGGAGTTATCAGTGAACCAGAAGTAAGCAGCTACGAAATAACAGACGATGATAAATTTTTAGTCATAGCTTCAGATGGAGTTTGGGAGTTCTTATCTAATGAAAAAGTTGTTAGTTTAGTAACTCCTTATTATCTCAAAAATGATCCTGAGGGAGCATGTGATAAACTTATAAAAGAAAGCACAGCAATGTGGAAAAAAGAGGATGATGTTGTGGATGACATAACTGCTATTGTAGTTTTTTTAAATAAACCATCTAATGATAGCAACAAATCCAACATGCAAGATTCAATATTTGCTAGCTCTTTAAAAAGATCTTAGATGATGAACGATCACTCTTGATCTTTTCCTAACTAGCTAAATGTTCCTTTAGCATTTAATTGCACATTTTTTTCAAACTGAAAAAAATAAAACTATCAAATAACTGCCAAATAACTGATAAAGTTAGTAAGCAATTTACAATAATTTATTAAAAAATTTAAAAGCAAAATTAATATGACCTATTTATCTACTTATTAAAACTAAAAATTACTACAAATTTCAACAACAACAAGAGCAAATAAACAAACAAAAAAGCTAGATTAATCTATAAAATAAATAAAAAAAATAAACAATTTATTCATAAACAGCAAATAAACGATGACAATAAGTCAACAAATAAATAAATTATTCATTCATTCAATTAATATATTTATAAATTTATTTATGTACTTCATTAATATTTCCTATTCAACCAATAAAAAACTTTAGTTTATCTATTTAATTTTAATATTTTATTAAATATATTTAACTTTTCTTAACATTTATTTTTTTATAAATTCTTTTTATCAAATATTTAATATTATTTAGATTTTAATATAATTTAAAATAGTAATATTTTATTTAATATATTTGAATATAGAATATGTTTTATATTAATTTTCAAAAGTTTAGGAAAATATTGAAATATTTTTCAAAAATGAATGATTAGCATTTTTGAAATAATCTTAAAATATAAAATCTATATGCCTATCTATGTATCTTCTTGTATTTTGTTTAAAAGCGATATATGATTGATTGATTACTACTACGATTGAATAACTTTTCTTTTTTGCATAATTTAAAGACACAATCTAATTTATTATTAAATTAAGATTTCACAATATTTTTAACAAAATAAAGCAGTATTTATTTATTTACTTACAGAATTTTTTATTTGTTTGATTAGTACTTAACTAGAATAGTAGTAAAAACAAAAGGATTTTTAAAGCAAGTTTTATTTGAGTGTTTGATTAAATAACAGGTAGTCGGAATCATTTGCTATTTTCTAGTTTCAACAGATGAATGTGGCTTTTGTTATTGATAATTCAATCTCCATGAATCAGCGGGTTTATAATGGACTTTCGCTGATTGAAATAGCAAAAAATGGAATTGAATTTATTTTAAAATAGAGAATGCGTGCGGCTGATAGCAAATATGACACTTACTAGTTGTTTTAAACAGGTTATGATCCAAGCTAAAAAGGGTACCCTAATGGAGTTTAAATGTTGAGCTCATATAAACACGACATAAATCATCTTTTCTTTTAGTTAAAAAATATTAAAACACATTTAGTCACAGATTTACCAGGTACACTGCAAAATGTCTACAGATAACTCAATATTTTTAGGTATTTAAATGGTGCTGATAATATATTTGGAGGTAGAGACCCTCTTAAATCTGATCCTTCTCTTATTGTACTTTTTACAGATGAGTCTGACTATTACTAATTGGAGAAATTGTAAGAATTTATTAGAACAAATAGATTGCAAAATAAATGGGATTAAACTTTTGTTGTTTTTGAGCTTGTTTTACCTTCAATCATCGAAAAAAATATTCTTGACTAAGAAGCCTATCGCAAACAATTATAAAGTCACTTATCTATCAAAGTATTTGAAGATGTTGCCAATGCTCTTGGCGGATGTACTGTCATAGTGGACAACTATGAATATTTATTTTAAGTTATTGATACACAAATCATTCCTATCTTAAACAAAAGTCGACTTAACATTTATTTACAAATATCTTCTCGTCATGACCAGGAAATACCTGGCTTTATTGATAGTGGAATCAAGGAAGTTGTAAATCCTATATCTAATCCACTGCTCCCTTCAAAAGATATTGTTATATTAAAAATTATAGCAAAGTTAAATAAGCAATTCCAGCAAGCTAAGTATAAGCCTGATAATTAAAGCACTTAAAATTATAGTCGTATTCTTCTACCAGTAAAAAAAATAAATAAATAATAAAAAAATGAAATAAATTTAGAAAATTTATTTTATTTTAATTCATATGTTTTTAATACTTTTTTAAGAGCTTTTTAAATAAAAAATAGGAAAAGCCAGCTAAAATTGAAGATCCGAAGAAACCTGAACTAATGATGAACGATTATCCAAAACTTATTGTTGATTTCAGTAAAATTTTTCATGCAAACATGTATAAAGAACTTGAATTTGAAAGACAAGAATTAGAATTAAGTGATTGGACTAGGTTAATTTCTCCTTAAATTATTCCTTTCATAAAAGAAAAAGCTTACTTTCCTCTTTACTGTACTCATGAATTTAAATTTAATTATGAGGAAACTCAGTCTGGCAACTAATTTTCTAATTAGCAACTTATTTTGATTGGTTTACTTAGAATTAGCTGCAAAGATGGACAAATTATAGGGGCTGATTTGCTTTATAATATTTGGAACTTTTTAGAGTTTAATTTAATCTACGATGAAATCATTCAAAAGAAAAATATATACATTTAACAAGGAGGTTCTACTTAGACTTCAAGTAATATGCTTAGTGGGTCATCTTATAATACAAATCAACTGCCTTAACAAGTAGAGTAAGAATTGATCTCTAAGCTGGAAAGGTATTTCTAAAAAACTCCTTAATATTACTGGCCTACAATTCGAAAAATATTAGTTGATAAAAATTTATAATAATTGTATGACCATAAGTATTCATTTCTTTATGGAGATGTCCTTCAAGAACAAGATGAATTTACTCGAAATATGTTTAAATTTAAGCAAAAAGAACGTAAGAAACTAGATGAAGATATCAAGTAAAATAGATACAATCACAGTATTAAAAAGGTAGCTTGCTGCGCTCCAAATAGCGAAAATTACGAATTTATTAACAGACAAATGCATCCTAAGAGTTCTTAGAGAGTCTAACTCGAAAATTTGCTTCTGGCTAAGGAAGAAATTCTTTTCAGGAAAATTCCCAAAATTTATGACTCTACTCCATAATCTAACATTGCTTAGAATAAGCCTTTTCTTAATGCTGCTGGCTAAGTTAACGGAGATGTATTACAACCACCTTTTGGCATAATAAATCAATAACAAAACAGTAATAGCTATGCTTTCTTTAATCCTAAATTAGCTAAAAGATTTATCAAAGATGATTACATTAAAAGAATTCATTATAAAAGCGAGCCTGTTTCTAAAATGAGTGAATTACTTAGAAGTGTTAAGCAGTAAGAGCATCGAGACCCTTAAATTGATGAGGATGAAATTAAATGTGTAAAAGAACCAATTCCTTTTGGAAATCCATTCAAAATGATAGTTCGTATTAAAAACTCAAGACTATCAAATCAACAAAATGACTTCATTTCTTCAGAAGAAAATTATTTAAATACTAATATTCACCAAGGAAATAAATTTACTTAAAATTTACTCACAAATCGTCTTCCAAAACTTAAAAAACTCAAAAAGTAATTCAATCAGCTAAATTCTCAGTCATCTTCACCTGGTCAATTGTCTCAAGGTTCTACTTCAGTAGAACAAGAAAATGGAGACTCAGACTAAAGATTAGAAGGAGAAATTAAAAAAAAAATAAAATAGAACGAAGATCATTCAAGCTTAATAAAATCAGAATAAACAAGTGAAGATAGCTAGATATATATAATTGAAAAAGAAGATGATGACCAATAGCAAACTGATTCAGATCCTATTATTTATGATCCTTCGTACATGAATACAGAGTATGAGAATTAAATATAGCCTGAAATAGAAGACTCAAATAATATTTACTCACCTTATTCAGTAGATGATAGTAAAGGCAGCACTAATAATAGCTAAAGCAAAAATATCAAAAATTCTTATAAAATAGAGTCTGAAGAAGAGGAATATAATCCAGAAACAACTTTGTACAATTCAAACTAAAGTAATTAAGACTCTTAGGATTATGAAAATACTTTTGACAAAAAATATGACTCTTTCTAAGCAAAGAATTCTAAGTATGAAAATTCATAAGAAGAAGCACTAAGTAATTTAGATAAGGAAAATAATTTAGAATACACTTCAGATAGAATCTTAGACTTTTATAATTAAAACAAATTACAAAGCTCGATAAACCAGACATATGAAATAAACAGTAATTATGAGCCAAATATATCTAATAAAAAGTTTAAACTTGATACAGACGATTAAGTTTAACCAAGTGCAGAAGATTTGGATAACGAGTAAGGATATAATCCAGATAATGACTTTGACGATCCATAAAATTAATTTGAAGAGGGAATGGGTTCAAAGAAGTCAAGTAAATAAGAAAAGAAGAAAATAAAGAACTACATACATAACGATTTAGTTTACGATATCAGAGAAAGTCTCAAAAATGATCTTAATAATAATGATGCAGGAGAAGATGAGTATGATCCCTCTCTAGTTAACCAATAAACAAACGAAACCACTTAACAATTTACCAAAATCGAATTTTCTACAAAATATTTGCAATCACCATACAGAGAATCTCATCAATTTTTGTTAAAAAACAAAAACTTCTTTGATAATTTGTTGTTCATTCAAAAATGCTAAAAAAGAGACGACCTAAAATCCTACGTTACAAGGTAAATGAAAGAAATCACTGAAGAAAAATTTAAGGCTGTATTTAAACAAAGAGTCTCTGAAATTGTTTACTAAGAAAAAAAGTGAGAAGGGTTGATTAAATCAAATTAATAATGAATAAATAAATAAATTATTTCAAAAGTAAATAAATAAATAAATATTTTTAATTAAAGCCTCAATTTACTTAAATATTTTAATAGAATTTATAAATCTATAATTGTAAATATTTATAATTAATTAATTTATTTCAAGAACTTACATTTATAAATATAAATAAATATTTTTTTAATCATACAATTATATTTGATTTTTTTATTTATTTATTTAATACATTAAATATATTTATAATTTTTTTCATATTAATTAATTATAGCAAAATGCCATTCAAAAATTTGGTGAATTGAGATAACTATTTTTTTGAATGGTTGATGCCTTTGAATATTATTTATATAAAGATAAATAATTTTATAATAGAATTTAATTAATAATATTAATAATTTTAATTTTTTTCAATCTTTATGATTTTTCTATTAATTATTGCACAAAATTTAAAAATATTTTTTTGACATCTATTTTCATTTAATATTTTATTATTAATTAATTGGTTAAATTAAATATAAAATCAATTAAGTAACGTATAAAGCTAAAAGAAAAATATATTAATATCTTGTTCTAACTTATAATGAACATAAATGTATTTTAACTTATTTAAATTAAAATAAATAAATTTATCTATAAAAATAAATAGAATTTTTACAAATAAAAATTTTTTTTTAATTAGTAAATATTTATTATTTATATATTTTAACCTAATATTATTGAAGATTAATTCAGGAATATTTTATTAAATTATTTTTTTTTTATTTATTTTCTATTTTCTACTTATAAAAAAATTTAAAGTTTCTTGTATGTTTACTTTTTGTAATCCATTTAAGTATCAATTAAATATAACATAAATTAAAACTTTTTCACTTTATTTTTTTGTTTTAATTTCTTTTATTTTTCTCTGAAGATGTTTATTCGCTAATTTTACTTTTAGAAATAATTTTTTACTCCTCTGTAGTTTATTCTTTTTCTTATTCTTTTTCCTCTTGTAATTTTGATGATTTTGTTTTTTTTACTGAAGAGTTTTCGTTTGAGTTAATTTCTGACTAAAAAGAGACGAGTTCAGCCGCAAAAATAGCTTGATGGGCCCATCCTGCATAATCTCCATATAGATCTTTAAAGAAATTTTCTATTTCTGAATACTGATCTTTTGTCATTTTTTTATCTTTGTTTTTATTTTTTTTGTAAACTCTATTATATATTTGAAAAACATGAGTATCTACAGGGATTAAATCTTTTGCATCTAAGCTAAAGAGAGATATACAATCTGCTACTTTATTTCCTATTCCTTTGAATTCAAGCAGGGCTTCTCTTTTCTCATGTGAATCTTTCAGCTAGCGCAATTTGTGCAAATATTCTTCTCCTCCTTTCTCCTCAAGTAGCTAAACTGCTGAGACAATATAATTAGCTCTATAACCCAATCCCAAATCTCTGAGATTTTGTTCTGTTGCTTTCCTCAATGATGCTACAGATGGAAAACTATAATAAATTTCTTCGCTACCATCTTCTAATTTTTCTCTATAAATTTCCTCTCCAAAATTCTATCTCAAACTTTTTAAAATTTTAGTAATTCTTGGAATATTATTGTTTTAGGAACATATAAAGCTAATCATGCACTCAAATGGAAACTATCTCAAGATACGAACTCCTTTTAACTATTCTTTGACTTTAGCATAATAGTTATCTTTTTCTGACCACTCAACAGTAAGCTTGACTAAATCTACATTTAATTGCAAGTAATCATTAATAATCTCCTCAATTTTTGAATTTTCTGGTATTTCTTTGTACATTACTTCATTATTTTCATTAACCTTTCATTAAATTTTTGATTTTAATTATGTTTATTATGAAAATAATTTTCATTTAATTTTACTTTAAAATCTACTACATTTTTACCTAGAATCCCTCTAAACTCTTTGTTATAAGTTACATCTTTGTTTATCCAATTAAATGCTTGGCCGTTGACCAAGGTATTCTTTAAATTGAATTCTATCTATGTTATTGGCTTTTTAGTTAAGGGGTTTATTAGAGACTTCATAATATTTAATGATAATTAAATTATTTAATAAAAAGAAGATAATTATTATTTTTGGCATCAAAATATATAAATAGAGAGCCTAATAGATATAAATTGCTAAATCAACAAAATTCTAATCACTTCTACTTTACAGATTTATAAACACTCAAAATTAAATTCAAAAAATGTTTAGAAAGTTAATTAATTATTATCACTTTTAATTAATAGTTATTTAAATTAGAAGGACAAATACAAGGAATATAGAAAGAATTCTGCTAATTTCTAAATAATTTTAATTTAAATAAATAAAAAAATCTAAAAATAAAACAATTAATCAAATTATTTTTAATTACTTTTTACAATCATTTTTTTGTTTTATTTAAGCTTATTATATAATTAAATAATTAATTACTCTATTTTGCATTTTGTTTCATTTGTTCAAAAAAGCAAAAAGAAAAGAATTTTATACATTTAATATAAATTAGAATTTGGAAAGAATTTAATGAAAAAAATTTTTATTGTAAAGAAAGAAATATAAATACAAATAAATAATACAAAAGCATTTTCTAACATACAGCAGTCTCAAAGATATTTTATAAATTGAATTTTAATAAAATCAACTGTTTAAAGTTCTTCCTTAATCCCATTCAAATTGATATCTATTCTATCACTAGTCGATTATATTAATTGCCTTGTAAAATCTAGATCTTCAACATCTAATACTGCTTGTCTATGATAATTACTTAAATCAATATTGATGTCTGAATGATCATGAATTTTGCTTACGAATTTGAAGATTTAGCATTTATTTTTTTTAAATTCTTTAGAAATAACATTATAGCTAAACCCAATAAAAAGTGATATTATTATGTTATAATATTTTAAGGTTGTTCTTTTTTTCTCATTACTATTGCATTACTAACATTATTAATATTCTTCTTCCATCTAATTTTTATTTATCAAACCCTATCTCTTTTTCCTTGCATTTTTCTAAATTTTTGATTAATAATAAGAATAACTGACAGCTCATAAGAATATTCTTATTTAATTTTTTAAGAGCTATCTGAAAAAAATTATTTAGAAACGTATTTGTAAAAAATATAATTGGGTTTCCAGATTAAATAGATTGTCTATATATTAAAATAAGGATTAATAAATTTTGATCTGTGGGACATGAATTATGAGACAGACACTTAATAATTAAATAAAATAATAAAAAACATAAAATTAATTTTTAAGATAATAAAATAAAAATATAAATTATTCACTTAAAAAAAACATATTCAATTAAAACAAAATAAAAATTATAAATTAATTAATTATTTTAATTTTAAAAGTAACCTGATAGCTATATAAAAAAATATACCTTAAATACAATAAGATTTTAAACAAGTAATCATTTTTTAAGATATTTATATTCCATCATTCAGTTAAATCAAAAAAGCACAAAGATGGATTTGTTAATAAAGATGGAGATATGAATTTTCTATATGCAATCAATTTGAGCATATTTATACCTCTTTAATTTATATAAACTTTAAAATGTTCGCTTATTTTGAAATCTGTATTGAAGAAGCTAATATCCGTGTTTAAAGCTAAATTTCTTTCAATAATTGGAGTAAGATTACATGCTTCTCTAATCTTCTTTAAATAGAAATATAAATCTAAATTAATTAAGTTTTTGCAAAAAGATATATTTATTGCTAAAGATTTGAGTTAATCATCACTTAAATATTTTTCAGCATGGCATGCTCTTAATGAATAACTTGTTAAGTTTTTTAATTGAGAAACAAACATCAAATTTTAGAATACCTCCTCAATATTTTTCTCATACGATCCTATACATCCATTATTTTATATATCCAAAAAAATATCTTTGATTTGACCTAAACTTTGTATATGTCCAAGATAGTATGTTGATAATTGAACAACACAGTCTTTTGGTAGATACTTTATTCTATTTAGAAATTTAGCTTCTTCATTGATTTATCTTGTTATTTTAAATGTTTTTAAACTGGACAAATAGCAAAAGTCTTCGAATAATGTATTCTCAGTTATTTGATTAGTGATCTTTAAGCTTTCTAATTCAGTTAATTAATGTAACTTTACAAAATTAAGATTTGGTATTGTTAAGTGTTTTAAGCTTTCAATTTTCTAAAATAATTTTGGAGAATATTAATGTTAATGATTATCATAGCGTTGATTTATTTCTAGTGTGTTTATTTATCTAAAAGATTAGATATAGTAGTTTACGCCAGTTCCTTCTCCTTTTATAAACAAAAAGTTAATTAGCTTAGGGAACACTAACTCATTTTGCTCTGGAAATTCTTCTTTAAAGTCAAAATTTAAAGATAATGATTAAAGATTGATCATTTTAAATACAATCAACAATATATTTTTATGAAAGTTTTTGTTATTGGTACAGGCTCTAAAAAGATCAAGCTAGAATGTATTTAAATTCTCTAATGCAATCATTTTTAGTAGAGATAAAGCTAGTTCCGCTGACTAAGTATTATGAATATCTAAAGTTAGATGATGAATCCTTTTAATCAATCCAACAAAATCAAATAAATTTTAATCATGGCTATCTAGGTCTAACACAAGCCCTAATTCATTTATCTGTGAAATAATCGGGACTAAATTTTTGACATTTGGACCTATTGTTTTTAATTTAAGTGTTTTATCTATTGAAATTCTTTCAAACGAAAGAGTTAATGTTTTGATTGCTTAAAGTTTTTCTTTTATGATTAGTATAGAAGAATCTATATCTGAACAATCAACAACCAAGTTGTAGTGACCCTAAGAAATATACCTTAATTTACTTTGATCCATTTTTAATTTTTTTTATTATTATTTATCTTATTTTTTTGTTTTTATAATAGAGAGGTAGATTGATAGATATATATGATTATAAAAAGTTTATAGAAAAGAGATTTACTTATGAATTACGATAAAAAAATAAAAGAAAAAGAGTGGGAAATAATGTTTGAGCTTGATAGATAGATGAATATTTAAATTTAGATAATTATAAAAATAAAAAGAGGCTATTGACACATATTATATAAAGGCTACTAAAACTCAATAAAATAACTTGAGCTTATTTACCATAGAATACTACTATTCTTTAATTTAATCATTGATTGATTGAATGCTTTACAATTATTTCATGAAAATGTTTACATTGTTACTATAAAATTTATTTGTTTTCTTTAGTTTATTTATTTATTAATCAATTCTTTCGTTTGCTTATTAAGCGATGCAAATTTAGCAAGAAAATTCATTTCTAATTTTTTTATTGTTAGACTTAATAATATTTAATTTATGTTTTTGTTTATATATTTGTTTGCATGTTTGCTTTGCATATTCGCGCTTCAAAAACCCATATAAGCAATTCAGAAAAGATTAGTTTAATAGTTAATAAATAAATAAGTAATTTATTAATATGCCAACTATTTTATTTATTTATTTGTTTGTTTGGTTGGTTATGATATATATTAATTGTTATTTAAGTTAAATGGCTTTATATATTATTCATATTATTATAGTACGTTTAAATGATTAGATTATTTTATTGATTGAATTAATATGTGTGGTATTCTTTTTGATATAATATTTTTTATTTATGTTTTATTTAAAATTTTTGCTATAATAAATATAAAGAATGAGTCGTTCGTTGTGTTTGTTGGTTTGGTTATTATGATTAAAGTAAAAGTGTTAAACACCTTTAAGCTTTAATTGAGATCCCCCATTTTTTCAAAAACAAGCAAGCAACATTACTTCAATAAACCTGCTGCTTTTTTAAGAAAAAATAGAGAAATCATTCTAAATAACTAGCTAACTCAGCTCACTAGCTGTTTTCTTTTACCCAGTCATCATAACGGCTATCTTTACCCTTAAGAACAGGGTCAATTTGAGATTTAATGAATTCAGAGGCATTGAAAGACTCCTATTTATTAGAAAATGAAATTAATTTATGTTATTATTGAGTAAATAAATAGATTTGCTAAATATTAGATTGTTTCAAATAAAAAATAGCTAAAGAAAACATAATGAAGCGATTTAATGATTTAGCAAAGATGAATAATTAAAATATATTTTTTACTTATTTTTTAAGGAGTTTGATACATTCTTCGAAGAATTGCATGTAAACGAAATTAAGATCTTCTTGATCGTATTCATCGTAATCAGGTTTATAGTTGATCTTTAATTGATTGAATTGGATTAAAGATTGGTTGTAATAGTGGACAAAAAGTTCAGAAAGGAATTCTAAGAAGAGAGGGAAATCAGAGCTTTCATCTTTGCTCTTGTTGAGTCTGTCATTGAAGGCTTTGAAGAATTATTCAGGAGTAATAATGGTAGATACTTCCTTAGCTACTTGCATTCTATCATCCTTATGAGCTTTGTTGCAATCATAAACAGTCTTAATCAAAACTTCACCAAAAATAACAGGATCAATAACATCTTCCTTTAATTGCTTTAAGTCGTTAACAGCGTTGGCAACACCATAGTCTTCCTAAATTTTAACCTTGGCGTCTAAATAACCCCAGAATTCTTTGGCTCTAACAATACCAGCCTTTTCGTCTAATTTGCCATTAGCTTGACTGTTGTTGACAGTTTATCTCTCTGTTAATAAATAAATAAATAATTAGTTTAATTAAAAGTTAAATGATTAGATAATAAAAAATTTTATTTTATCAATGTATTTACTAAATAATTATTTTAATGTTTTAAGTTATCAAATAATTTTCTATTATCAATTTGTTATATTATTAATTTTCTTTATTTCTTTATATTTAATGTCTTTTTTATTCAAATTTTTTACTGTTTAGAATTTGTTAAACAAATTTAACTTTTTGATTTGTTCGTTCACTAATTAATTTTCTATTTCTGATGTGTTTAATAATTAATTTACTAATTTGATTCACTCAAACAAACAATAATTTACTATTTAAATTCTTTGAGAATAAGATTTATTTAAAAATTTATTATTTTGATAATTTGCTATTAGAGCTACCTAAATAGTTTGCTATTTTGATTTCTTAAATAGTAAAATTAATGTTTTGTTTATAGTAAATTTTTTGTTAAATAGTAAAATTTGTATATTTAAGATAAAGATGGTTTAAAAAATTACTCTTGTCGTCTTTTCTTTGATAGCCTCTCTCTTTGTGGTTACCACCTTGCTTTTACTTTTATTCGTACTTTTGAAGTTCGAGTTAGTTTTGTTTCATTTCTTCTTCATGTTTCTTGTGCAAGTTTTAGAGACTTTGAGGACCAGTTTAGGTGCTCAATCTTTCCTTCCAGCCTTCACCCTTACGTTCAAGTAAGTTGGTGATCAAAGAATAGATTCTAGGAGAAATCTTTTTATTCTTCTTCAACCATTCGAAGCTTTAATTAAAAAAAATGATGATTAGTAAGTTATTTAGTAGTTTATAATATGAATACAGAGGTCATTAAAATACCAATATTAGAAATAATTTTGAAAGAAATTAAATACATTGTAAAGTAATCTTCGAAGCTGAGAGTTTCGATGTTTTCTAAAACTTCTTCGACCTTTCTCTTTTCGATTAAAGAAATAACGCTGGAAAGGATAGAAGAGGGTTCGCTAGATTATTGACTCTTTTTCTTGCTTTCAACGTACTTTTCTTCCATCTTCTAGCCAGTTTATTCAAAAAGAGCAATAAGAGCTTCAAGATGATCTTCATAGTGGGCTTCTTCTACTTATTCTTTATCTCTTTGTTCATCACTGACTTCACAGTAGCCTTTAATGAATCTCTTTAAGAGTTCACTGCAGCAAATGGTTTGAATAGCGAAGTTCATAGATTTGTTTAAGAAAAGATTACCAATAAACTTAACATTTAACATTTCTCTTTTCTTTTTATCAGCAAAGTATAATTTTTTTTCTTCATCGCTCTTCATATCTTCGAGTCTTTCTAATTTTCAGATAAAATAATTTAAAATTACTAAGATCTTTATCATTTTTTATTGCTAAAATTTAGTAAATAGATAAAAATTTGTTTTTACTTTATTTGGCAAAAGTCATTTTATTGTTGAAGATATCCTTTTCTCCTTCAAATGTTTGTTGAATGTTGGTGTAGAGATGGCTTTTAAACACCTTTTATTGAGCTTCGCTGGGCAACTTCTTGGATTATTCGATCATATATTTGCATAAATCAGCATAAACTTGAGAGTAAGTTCTTTCAGTTCTAGCCTTTTCGATGATACCTTCTACAACGTATTCACAAAGATTTTCGTTGGTCATAGCGAGGTCGAATAATTTCTTCTTAATGACTTCGAAGTTAGTAGGAGTTAAAATATTTAAATCTAATCTGATTTCGCTGATTTATTTCTTAAATTCGTCTGTTCTCAAGGTCTTGGCATGTTCAGTGAATTAAGAGGCGTTCTTCTTTAGCTTCATCTTGAATTCGATAATGTCGATATCTTCTTTTTGTCTTGAAATTTATTAATTACTGCTGTTGCCCTTGATTAATGCGGGTTAAGTGTATCTCTTGCTATCGTTTCTGGTAATACCCCCTTCAGCTGTGGGGAATGTGTTAGGGGTGTTTTGGCCTTGCTTAACGTAGGGCTTGTTATTATTGTAAGAACCATTAACCTTGCTGGTCTAGTTTCTGTTATTGTTTCCTATTATTTAAAAGTAAGATATTAAATTTTCATCTTCAATATAGAAATAAATATAGAAGAAAAGAATGAATGAAATTATTAATTAAAGATAGTTAATAATTTAATTAATTAGTCTTCAAAAAAAATCAGGTTTGCATGTAGGGAGGTAGGGAGAGAATTTTCTTCTAATAAAAATACATTAATTAATTAAGAGATATTTCTTTATTTAGTAAATTTAGTTTGTTTTTTTTGATTATTTTCTTTTCTTTGTCTAAAAATGGAGAAAATTTTAAAATAGATTTAGTAACGGGATTTTTAAGATAAATAAATAAAAAGTGAAATTTTTTCTTACTGCTGACATAATCTTTGGATGAACTTTATTCATACTTTCTATTTATGAAGGTTACAAGTCTCTTGTCGAAAGTCTTTCTGTCATCATCTTCAACTTCAAAAGTTAAATCCTTATCCAAGAAGTATGAGATAACTTCAAAAGTAATCACAGTCTTGACAGGCTGAGGAGCAACTTATTCTTCTACAGGCTTAATAATTTCTTCAGCTCTGTGATTTACTACAGGAGGGATGCTGGTTGTCTATGATTCAACAACCTAGGGTTCTTCTTTGTGATCATTTGTATCACCGTTGATTTAAGCTTAAATAGGAGCCTTTAATTTTAATACTTTCTTTTCTTTCTTTTAATCTTTATTAACTTATTCTACTTAGTCAGCATGTTTTTTTTGTTCAACTTCAATATTAGTAGTATTCAAAACAGGTTAAGTAATCTCTTTTGCAGTTTCAGGATTGAATTCTACTTATTTAAATTTTAATGGTTTTCTTAATTTAGGTAATGAAGTAGTTGTATCAGACATGGCGGTCGTATGTTATTAATTTATGATATTATAGGCCAAGATTAGCTAATTCGCTTAAAATGTTTTTCTTATTTAACTTTATATTTCTTAGAAGTGTGATTGAAAATATGGATGAAATCTTATAAACTAATTAAGTCTTTATCTTTCTTTTTTGTTATTTTATCCTATCTTTTAACTTTTTTAGCTTTTAAAAATATATAAACAATTTGTTATTTAATTTATTATCTTTTAGCTCAAGAAAACTAACAATTAAAAACATAGACACTTAATTACATATATCCTATTAATTAATTTATTAATCAATCTAACTATATATCTATATATCTATCAGACAGTCAGCGTAGTGTAGTGTGTTCATAAACTGCATTATGAACAAGTGAATATATGTGCATATAAAAACTTCAGAATGAATCGATAGATATATGAATGTATAAATTACTTATTATTTCCTCTCAAAAAAATAAACAAACAAACAAACAAAAAAAATAATACTTCTCATTGTTTTTATGAACTGAAATTCTTTAAAAATAGATAAAAATAGGGAAAAACTCTCTAGCAAGCACCAAATTTTTAATTAATTTTTAGATATCTTTAAAATAAAAGGATTAAAAAAATAAAAGTTCTGCTCATCTAATTTTATATTATATTTGTATTTAAAAACAATCAGGTAAAAAGATATACTTACAAACATAAGTACGTTTGTATGTATACAATTAAAAAACTAATAATTTGATAAAAATAATATTGATATCATCTTAATCACTTCATTTATGTAGAAAAAATATACTAATAAAAAGATAATTTGAGGTAGGTAGGTAGGTAGGTAGATAGTTAATTAATGATTAATGCAATCAAAAAATATCCAAAAAAAATTTCATTTGTTCATATTAGGTTAATTTTTACTATTATCTCTTTATCTTTCTATCTATCTATCAATCAATTTATTTACATACTTATCATTTTCTGCAAACTCTTTAATAATCTAAGAATTTGATATCTTATCCATTGTAAATACATTAAAATTATTATTATAATACATGCAATAACTCTACTTTATATTAATACTAATAAAATTCATTCAATTAAAAACAAAAATCTTTTGTTTACTTTTTTAAGCTTTTTTTTAAGGCTATTTCATTAATTTTTTTATCTGGTTTACATTTCGACAGCTTTATTTATATCTATCTATTTTTCAATTTAAAAAATTATTCATTTTACTCTGGTTAATAAATAAAGAGTATTTAAAAAATAAAATAATAATGGTTGAATATGTCGATAAAAAAAATATTTTATAACCTTATATAATTTATTTAGGTTTTTATTGATGAGGCTTTATTTCATTCTTAATATTATTTTAGTATTAAATGGAATAAAATATTTTCAAAATAATTTGAGAAATTAAAAAAATATCATTTATAATTAAAAAAACTGAATGTTTCAGTAAGTAACTAACTAATATTAATGAATATAAATATAAAACTATAATTTTTTACAAATGGTGAATAAAATAATAATAAAAATTTAAAATTCAATTATTTTTGATAAATTTTTCTGGAATTAATTATTATTTTTATTCTTTTTCAAATAGTTAATATTAGAAATTATTAATCAATTAATTATTAAAATGATTGATTAGCAATATTTACTTTTAGTTAAAGAAGAAATATTATAAAATTTTTAATTTTCTTACTCTTTAGTTACCAATATTTTTCTTAAATCACATTTTATTTATTATTTGTTATCTCTTATACCTCCATCTAAATATTAGTAATTTATTTAAGTCTCAATATTTTTATCAATAATACTTCTTAATCAATAAATATTAATTTATAACTAGGTCTTTTTCTATTTAATTATTTTGTTCTTCCTATGCTTATAATAAATCGAAATTAGCTTTTTGTTTAACCCATAAATAATCTTCTATCTATTTTTAATGCTTTAATTATCATTTTATTTTTAAAACTAATATCTCTACTCTTGATAAATATTTAAACTTAAATATTTAGTTTCTTTTGTAGGTTCAAACTATTACCATTAACGATTGATCGCATATACGGTAAAACCCTATTATGAGGTCTAACCTTATAAATTTCATGATATGGTATACGACTTATCATTTTGGATTATCCTTTATTTTGAATGTATTTCTCATTCTGTATTTTTTTAATAAATTACATTAATTAATATTTTGAAAATAAATCTAATCCTAATTAATAAATAAATTACTAGCTACAAAATTAAAAGAAGCTTTATTTTAAAGTGATATTTTTTCTCAAAAAATAAAATTTTTTGTTAAATTTTTTCATTTAAAGAAGAATTGATTTATATACTAAAATTTATTGAGAAATAAAATAAAAAATCAGAAGTTTAATTCATAGACTAATAAGCATTATTAACACTAATAATATAAATCCTTCAAAATAAATCATGTAACATTTCAATATAAGTGCTAAAGTATTTTTTGTTATGTTAAAAAATTTTATGTGATATTATTTGTAATTAACTAACTAACTAAGTTATTTTTAAATTTTAATTCCAAAAACTTTATTTTATAATAATAATTCATTTAATCTAATCTAATTATTTTTAACAAATCTACTTGCTTATATTCAAGAAAAAGATAAAAAATTTAATATCATGCAATTTTACAAGTTAAGAATTTTAATTAAGATAAAGCTAAATAGTAAAGCAAGTTCGCAGATTTTAGCAAAAAATTTGATTTTTTTTTAGTTCATGCAATATTATATTTAAAAAAAGTATGAGGAAGAAGATATTTTTCTAATCTTTTTTATGAAAATATAAAGTATTTATTCAAGAATGAATAGGATAAAGGATGGATTCCTAAATATTTTAATTATTTAAAATAATTAATATAAAATTAAATGTCTATTATACATATTATTTTTATGCCATGTATTTATTAAATTAATATGGTATATATTTTATAAGAATTCAATTATAGTAGTCTAAATCTACAGTAACATTGCATAAACTAACTGAACCAGCATACTGCTTGGCATAAGCTGAAGTCCAACCACCAAATGGATATTAAGAATAGTCAGATGTACTTGTAACATTGTTGTATCTTGCATACCAAAGAGGCAATTAGTTGAAATTTTAACAATTTTTATCATCACCAAAAATTTATACCCACATATAATGAGAGGCATAAATACCTACTTTCTTTCCTCTATATAAAATCTAATTTACAATTCTTTGTAAATAGTTGCATCTATCTTAAACTGAAGAGATGTTATTCCATGAGCAGGTAGTTGAAGGATTTGTCTCAACATCAACCCAAATTGTATCATAAGCATCTCCTTCCTAGTTAGATTTTTTATGATTAGTGAATAAAATATTTCTAAAATTAATAGTAGTTTCTTACATCTTCGCTAGAGATCAAGGAAAGGTTATTGATCATGTCATCAACTTGCTATTCAGCAGTAATTTTAGAGTCATTAATACAAGGGAACATATAAACATCTGTGTCCATTCCAGCAGCTCTGGCATTGAGCAGATTAGTATTAGCATTTGCATCTACTAAACCAAGAGAGCGATATGCTCTAATGATAGCTAAATCATAACCATTATCAACAAAACATTAATAATTGTTAAATAAGGTGGCTATATCTATGCCAAAATTGCAAAATACTGCACTAGCAACAACACTTAATATAATTAATTTTGCAAAAAACTTCATCAATAGATTCTTCCTTCAAATATTGTTTCTTTATTACTTAATCAGAATTAATTTGATTATTCAATTAATCTTTATAATTTTTAGAATTAAATTCAACTGATTACCTAATTATAAAGTAATTTTTTATAATATAGATTCACTTTGTATGAATTTACACACATTATTAAGCTAAATATTAGCAAATATATTGTAATCACTAGAAATAAAATATCTTTATTAATAAAAAACAAATTTATCTTTAATCTCCATCAAAAACCACATGTTTTTTTTAATTATTTATGAAAAATACATTAAATGATAGATAAATATAGCAATTTCATGCATGAATTAAATTCTTGCAAACGTAGAGATGCCAGAATTTAATGCATGAATAAGCTATAAATTATAATGTGGATTTACAAAAAAATGTAATACATTTTTAGATATAAGTATTTTTATTTAAAAATTCAAATTAGTTTACTTTATTAGTGGGAGTAAAGAATTTTTTGGAACCACAATACAACTAGACTAGATATGACTAATTTAAATATTGTTAAAAAATATTAAAAATAAAAAAATAGATTAAATTCTAAATTAATTTTTGAAAAATTAATTATGAAATTAAAATGTTTTAATATTTTAAATTAGATTTAATTTAATTTTTTTTAAAAATAAATAACTGATTTATTTGCTTTAAATATGTATTTGATTATTAACTATTTTTAATTGAAATCATAAAATTATTTTTTATTTTTAAGAGCTCAAACAAAAATCTAAAGGATTTATTCATTTATTTAATTAATTATTATAAAATTTAAAGGTGGTTGGTAAAACAATATATAAATCAATCAACCTTAATGACTGATGAAAGGTTTTTCTAGAAATTGCAATGATACAGTGCAGGTTTTGTTTTGATTATTTGTATATTTTTTATTATTTGTTATTGATAAAATTTGATTTATTTATAAATAAATAGTTAATATATATTTGATTAAAAATTTACACACTTTTAAAGTAGAAAAAGTAAATTTAAAAAAAGGATTGAAACAAAGATAAATAAATATATAATTAGGTAGTTAAACAAATAATTAAACATTAGATGGATACATTTTCTTTCAAGGCTTTCCAAGCTATTAGTGAAATAGACCCTACTGAGTTATTTTTCTAAAGAATGTATAGAGTTTGTTTCAAATTCATTACTCCAACAACTCAGTAAATAGATTCAGATATTTAAAAGTAATTAGAAAACTGCTACTTAAGATATTATAAAACATATAAAATTGTTTGCGAAGAAGCCCATAAATATGAAGATGACTTCGATTATGGAGACGATGATGATGAGGATGATGATAACGAGTAATACGAAGAAGATGACTATTATGATTGAATATTTAAAGTTCAATATATTTTTAATTAATAATCAAGCAAATTATTGCTAATCCAGGTATTAAAATATGATGAACTGGATAGCATAATATTTTAATACCTGGATTATACTTAATTTAAAATTAAAAAATATATCAAAGTATTTATGAAAAAGTATGTAAAGGCACTAACTATTCAATAAAATTCATAAATTCAATATAAAATATAAATATATATATATACTATAAAAAGTATTTAAATACAATATTCAATATTTTTTCAAATTTTTAGGGGTTTTCATTAAAAAAATCTAATAAATTTATTACCCTAATTTCATCTATGATTAAAAAGGATATTCTATGTTTTATTTATATTTTCTCCTTAATTTGCATACTTAAATTCATTAAATTACTATTTTTTTAATATATTGTTTGCAAAGTAACCTTAAATCTCTAGTTATGAAATCGCATCAGATTTGTAGATTTATCAATTAATAATTAGATTTATTGATTGATAGATAGATAATTTAGATGAATAAATAAATAAATTGTTACTAATTAATTAATTTGTTAAGCAAACTCTATTGTTCACTCAATTTTTAATTAGCTTACGAAAATAACACTCAATATGCTGAGATAACATTTAGTCCGCGAAAACATTGCAAAAGAAAACTTAAATGAACATTAAGATATGACAGCTAAAAAGTATTACATTAGATAGAATATATCAATTAACAAATAAATTCCTCTTTTAGATACTGAGAATGCTATTAATTCCTTCAATCATGCTTAAAAACCTATTTTTTCTAACTAAATTAAATAATTGGATCATTTAAAACAAGTTTCTCAACAAGATAACTAAGACTCTTCTTTTGAAGCGAGCTTTAATGGCCAGAATAAGAATTAATAAAACAAGTTCTTCCTTAAGCTATTGATTCCTTCAAAGGGTTCCTAAAATAGCTCTCCTAAATCAGTAAGCAAGATAGATTAATTAAATAGTAATGATAGTTTTAATAGTAAATAACTATACATTAGAAAGAAACAAGCTTCACCAAACAATCAAAGTTCTTTCAATAAGCACGAATGCTAATAAATATTCAATTTAAAACAGTAAATAAATCAAAGAGATTAGCAATATAATTAAATAAAGAAACATAAATCAAAGAGTTTTTTGAACTTGAAACAGATAAATTCTTCCTTAATAAATGAAGAAAATAAAAAGAGTCTTTAAATTCAGAATTTAAACGAATAGTAAAATGATAGCGTAAATTAAAATGTAAATAAAAGAAAATATTAAATTGATGTTGCTGGATTTATGTAAACAAGTAAATAAATAAATTCATTAAATATGCCAAGTATAAGCAGTCCTAGTTAATCCGTGTCTCCGTGTAGAATTTCAAGAGTTAATAGCCATTTAAAATTTAACATTTCAAATACTCCAACTTCATTTAGTGGTGGATAATTACTGGATTTCTAAGATAGAAATGACACAACTCCTTATTCAAATATGAATAAAGAGAAAAGGAGATCCAGTTTGAATTTAGCTAATAACTAAGAAGAAAACTAATAAATTTAGTAAACCAACCATTAAAGGTTAAGCATAAAGAAGGAATCGAGAATTGCTTCATTAACAAGGCTGCAAGAAGAAGAAAAGAATAAATTCATTGAAGAAGCATAAAAAATGTATATAGAAAAAAGAATAATAGCAGATGAAGAAGATCTGAAAGTAGTAAGCAAAATGTAGCTAGATTAAAATGAATATAAAAATGTAGATAATATAATATAGTACTAAAAAAGTAATAAAACACATTAAATATTAAAAGATTTGTATAAATAAAATATCTCAAAGTAGTAATCATTTTCAATAGATAAAAATGCTTAAAACTTCTTATAAAATAAAGTTTGTAAAAGACACTCCTCAGTTATTGGAATTAAAACCCCATAGATACTTATTTAAAACTGCTAAAAACCAAAAAAAATTATTTAATTAAAAGAAATTACTTAAGAAAAAATTGAGTCTAGAGAAACCGTTAAAACGAAATTAGCAAACCCTGTCATTGATAAAAAAATTCTACCAAGAAAATTAAGTTTAATTCCTATAAATAGAAGTTATAACAGCATAAGCTTTTCTAATTATAAAGACAGAGAATCTTCATTATAACCAAATGTCTAAGATTCAATTTCATAAATAACTCAAAAAGACATCTTTTAACCATTCAAATAAAAAATATCCAATATAAATCAATAAATATATCAACTTCTTCTCAAATCTTCTCCTGACTAAATACTTGAACTAAGTTTATCCAAAAAAGATTTAAATATAGAAACGATTACTTTGCTATAGCAAAAATTCTTATCTTAAAACTCAAAGTATTTAAATTTTATTTTATTTCATACTTAATTTATTTTATTAAAATATAAATATATTTTTAACTTCCAAAAAAAATATTTATATTACTAGGATAAAATTTTAATTTCATTAAATTTTGATAAAATAATTTTAATAGAAATGACAAATTAATTTATTGAATAAATTTAATTCAAAAGAAATTTGTTAAATTAAAAAATTAAATTTGACTTTAACTTTGAGGAAATATCAAATAATGGAACATATAAATTGTGCGAATAATACTTAATTTAATCTGAATAAAAAATTTTTAAAATAATAAATATTTGGAATGATTACATAAAATATTATAATTAAAGTTCCCACTAAAAAAACTTTTAATATTATTAAATCTCCCCTAAAAATACTTCCCTTTATTTTCCGATATATTTTTTAAAATATAATTTGATTGATAAAATAGCCTATGAAAGCACAAGTTTTTTATTTTTTAAGTAATTTTTAATTAGAAATAATTAAATTTACTTAGGAAAAAAAAATAATTTAATTAAATATTCTTTGTTTTCTTTTAACAAAATTTGAAATTATAATATTTAAAACATAAAAGGCTTTTAATTTTAAATTTGGAGAACTGTAAAATTAATGACTAAGTTGCAAATTCATTAATGGAATGCTTAGCGAGCAACTCTTCAATAAAAAAATTGAATTTATCTTAGAATCAAATAAGCTCTAAATCATGCCAAAATATTAAAAAGGTTATTTCCGAAAATTACTATCTAGAGGAGTTCTATTTACACTGGAATTTAATTAAGGGAGATGGTGGAGCTTTAATTGCTTAAGGACTGTAAGTTAATACAACGTTGAATGTATTAGATCTGAGTAAAAACCCTTTAGGTAAAATTAGAATAAAAAAATAAAGAATTTAATAAAAATTGAAATTTATTTATATATTTGTTTAATTTAAAAAGGTGGAGATTAAAATAAATTGGCCTGCAGTTAAGAAATTAAACGCTTTTTAATGTATCAGCAATCAAATGTAGTTCATTTAGATCTCTCAAATTGTGGTTTTAATCAATAAGAATCTACAATAATTTAAGAAGGATTAATAAATAACCATACTATTTATGGCTTTCATTTTTCTGGGAATGTAGGAGTTGTAGATGCTTTGGGATTTCTTAATATAAATAACCATATAAACAGCTTCAGAAATATTCATTTAAATCACCGTATTGATGGAGTCAATACTTTAAATTTCATGCTAGCTAAGGACAGATCCTTAGTTTCTGTAGATAATTGCTGGATTTGTTAAGGTATTTTTTAAAAGAATCAATTAAATCATTAATTTTTATTGATGTATTTATTTAATAACACAAAGGTTGGCAAGAACAAGAAATCACAGTTGATATTAGCAACTTTAATGCTAAAAATATGATTCATAGAGTCTTTGTCCATTTAGATTTTCTTGAATATAAAGGGATTTAATTACAACCAAAATAAAATAATAATATTTACTATTTAAAAGTGATGTGTCCTCCTAATTAAACTCTTCAGTTCTTTTTTACCATCCCTGAATAAAAAATATAAATGATATCTCCTTAGTATCATTCTTACTAAATACAAACTTTGGGGGTAGATATTCCTACTGGAATATTATTTTAATAAGATGCAGCAATGACTATGCCATTAGATCCTGAAATAAATTAAATTAATATTTTAAAAACCTAAGTTGGAAAAGTTATTGATGAAGAGACTTTTCATCCTCTTATCCAATGTTATCCAAGACCATCGATGACAAATTAATTATAATAATAATAAAAAAAATAAAGTTAATTACCTACTTGGAAAGGTGATAAGAGAAAACAAATCATGTAAAAACTTTTAAATAACACAATCCATCTTAATTCTAAAATTCCTAAATCTCCAAATAATTAAATAAAGCAGCAGAATACTTCTAAAAATTAATTAATTAATTGAAATAATTAAAATGTTAAACATATTTTTAAAAAGCAAAATCAAAAAAATCAATTAAAAATTTAGTAAATAAAAAATTAATTTTATTTAAAAATTGTATAAAATTTAGTAATAATACTATTTATATTTAATCTATTTACTAATTAGTTAAATAATTAAAAAATATTATTAGAATATAGCAAATAAATAATTTTAAATTTATACACTGTCAACTCTCATAAACTAATTCACATTTAATAACAGAGATAAAAAAGTATTTTTTTATAGAAAGAATAAAATTAGTTTAAAATCATAAAAATTAAATGATATTTTAATTTCAGGATTAGCAATATTTATAAAAATTAATTAAAATAATTATTATTAATCTATCTTTTTTTTAGGTAAAATTATCATATTACAAAATATTATAAAATGGCACATATTTATTATATTCTACAAATATATTCATTTCCTCATTTTTTCACCACCATTAATATTTTATGTTTATGGTAACTAATTTTTTTAATTTGAGACATTTTACTCTTTCTAAATAGTTTCTCCTTTCAATATAAATTAGTGTAAATTAATAAAAAAAATATATGATAAAATTTTTATATAAAATATTTATTTTAAATCGATAAATAAAAATATATCAGTTGAATTTAAAAAAAAGAAAAATTAATTAAATCAAAAGCTAATAAATAAATAAATAAATTAAAAAGTCAATTTTATTGCTTTCAATTCATTTTTTTATTTAAAAAATAACACAATCCAAAATTAATAATCTGTTTTTACTAAATATTGAGTGATAAATTTGAGAGATTAGCACACTTTCTTAAACCATAAACTAAGCCTGATGCACCTTTATCACAAATTTTAGTCTCACTTTATATTTATTCAAGAAAAATATATAGATAATTAGTTAACTAAAAGGAAAAAGTGTAGAAAAATATGAAATAATAAAAAATGAATTAATTAATAAAATCAAAAGTTGAAAATGAACAAATGAGTTAAATTAATAAGCAAAGAAAGAGACAAAGAAAAATAAAAAATATGCATAATAAAATAAAAATAAATCAAACAGAAAGCTAATAAATAAATAAATAAATTAAATGAGTTAGTTATACTAATTTAAATTAATTTTTAAATAAAAAGTATCAAAATCTAAAACAAATAAGCTCTATTTACGTAATATCAAGTGTCAAATTTGAAAGACTAGTGCACCTACCTAAACCAGAACCTAAATCTGATGCGCCTTCGTCACGAATTTAATTTTTACTTTTAAGAAATAGAAGAAAAAAAAATAGTTAATTCATTAGTTAAAAGGAAAAAACGAAGAAAAAGAAATAAATTTATAAGTAAGAAAAGTTGAAGATCAAAAAATTAGTTAAAATAACAAATAAATAAATAAAGTAATAAATAAAAGAAAAAACATAAGCAGAATAATAAAAAATAAATAAAATAAAAAGCTAAAAAAAATTAATTAATTTAAATTATATTGTTTAAATTTATTTTATATTCAAAAAATCAAAATTAAAAATAAATAAATTGATTTTACTAAAGATTAAGTGCCAAATTTTAAAGATTAGGGCTTTTTCCTAAACCAAAGCCTAAACGTGATGCCCCAAGTGGGCCTATTTAATTTCTACTTTTAAGGATTGAAGAAAAAAATATAGAATTAATTATTTAGTAGGAAAAATCATAGGAAAAATAAATATGAAATATTAAGAAATGAATTAATAACGAATGTAAAAGTTAAAATCAAAATTAGTTAAAATAATAAATAAGGAAATAAGTAAATAAAATAAAAAAAACACAAGAAGAATAAAAAAAATAAAATAAAAAATTAATAAGTAGATAAAAATAAATAGTTAGTTTATAAAATTGATTTAATTTCATTTTTATTTAAAATATATCTCTATCAAAAACAAATAAGCTTTTTTACACAAGGCAAAGTTTCAAATTTAAAAGATTAATGCACTTTCCTAAACCAAAACCTAAGTCTGATGCACCTTAATTACCAATTTTATTTGTCCTTTTTAAATATTTAATAAAAAATATAAAATAATAAGAAAATAATTAATAAGAAAGTAAAAGTTTAAAATGAAAATATTATGTAAATTAACAAACAGACTAAGAAGAAAAAAATAAAAGTAGAATAAAAAAAAAGAAAAATAAATCAAATAAAAAGCTAATTAATTAATTAAAAGAGTTAATTATTTATTTTGAATTAAATTCATTTTTATATTAAAAAATATAACAATCAAAACAAATAAACTGCTTTTACCGAAGATCAAGTTACAAATTTAGGAGATTAGTGCACTTTCCTAAACCAGAACCTAAGCTTAATACGCCAGAAGCACCAATTTTATTGTTACTTTTTAAATAATAAATAAAAAATGTATAGTTAATCAGTTAATTAGAAGAAAAAAATGAAGATAAAAAGTGAAATAATAAGAAATCTATAAAAAGTAAAAGTTGAAAATTAAAAAATTAGTTAAATTAATAAACAAAGAAAAATCACAATACAAAATAGATAAACTGTTTTTACCTAAGATTAAGTGTCAAAATCTAGAGGTTAGTGCATTCTCCTAAACCAGAACCTAAGTTCGATGCACCAATTGCACCTATTTAATTTCTACTTTTTAAATAATTAAGAAAAATAATATAGTTAATTAGGTAATTATAGTAAAAAATGAAGAATAAATATGATATAATAAGAAATTAAAAAATCAAACATTCAAAATCATAAAATGAGTTAAATTTATAAAAAAATAAAGTATAAAAAAAACAAAAACACAAGTACAAATAACAAAATAAATAAAATAAAAAGTTAATAAATAAATAAATAAATAAATTAAAAAATAAGTTATATTGTTTTTAAATTCATTTTTATAAAATCGTAATTCAAAACAAAACAAATAAACTGTTTTTACTAAAGATCAATTGTCAAATTTGAGAGATTACTGCACTTTCCTAAACCAGAAACTAAACTTGATACACCAATTGCACCAATTTCATTTCTACTTTTTATATATTGAAGAAAAAATATTTAGCTAAATTAATTAGTTTATTTTAAAGTAAAAAATGAAGAAAAAATATTAAATAATAAAAAATTAATAAAGTTAGAAGATAAAAATTAAATAAATTAGTTAAATTAAAAAGAAAGAAATAAAGAAATAAAGAAATAAAGAAAGAAAGAAAGAAAGAAATAAAGAAAGAAAGAAAGAAAGAAACAAAGAAAGAAAGAAAGAAAGAAGAGAAAAACAAGCAGAATAAATAAATAAAATGAGTTAGTTTTATTGTTTTAAGTTCATATATTAAAAAATATCACAATCCAAAGACAATTTAACTATTTTTACCGAATTCCAAGTATGAAATTTGATAGATTAGTGCACTTTCCTAAACCAGAACTTAATCCTGATGCGCCTTCATCGCCAATATAATTTTTGCTTTTTAAATATTGAAGAAAAAATATATTATTAATTAGTTAGGTTAAAGGAAAAATATGAAATAAAAAGAACTTAATTCAGCAATTAAAAATAAAAGCAAAATTTGAAAATGAAAAAATGATTTAAATTAACAAATAAAAAAAGAAGAAGAAAAAACACAATCTAAATAATAAAAAAAAAAGAAAAATTAACCAAATGAAAAGTTAATTTATAAATTAAAAGAATTAGCTTAGTTATTTTAAATTCATTTTTAAATAAAAAAATATCATACATAATCCAATTAAATAAACTGTTTTTACCTAAGGCCAAGAACCAAATTTGAGAGATTAGTACATTTTCCTATACATAAACCTAAGCTTTATGCACCTTTATCACGAATTCGATTATAACTTTGTAAATATGATTAATTAGTTAGAATGAATAAACGAAGAAAAAAAAATTCATTTTATATATTAAAAAAAATAAACTGTTTTTTACTAAAGGCCAAGTGTTAAATCTATGAGATTAGTACAATTTCCTATTGCAGAACCTAAGCTTGATGCATCTTTATCACCAATATCACACTCCCTTTGTAAAAATACTTAGTTACAAAGAAAAAATGAAGAAAAAAAATTAATTTTATATTAAAAAATATCACAATCCATCCAAAAAAATAAACTTTATTTATTATCTAAATAAAAGTGAAAAATTTTTAATTTTTGGTACTTTATAAAACCAAAACCTAAAATTAATCCAATTTTTTTATTAATCTATTATCACTTTTTAAATTTTGAAAAAAATATCAAGTAAATTAGAATTAGTTACTTAAAAAAAAAAATAAAGAAAAAATATGAAATTATAAGAAATAAATTAAATAAATAATTAATAATAAAAGCAAAAATTAATAATTAAAAAATGAGTTAAATTAAAAAAGAAATAAAATAAACACTATCAAAAAAAATCTAACTAATTTGTCATTTATAAATGTTTAAGAAAAACTAAAGAGTTAATTAATTAGTTAGTTAGTTTGTTAGTTAATTAGAACGATAAATAGAAGAAAAAGTATCAAGAATAAAAAAATGAATAATTAATTAATTATTTATTTAAATAAAAATAGAGTGAAAATTAAGTTAAAATAGTTTAAAGAATATTTGATTAATAAAAATGAATGAATAGATGATAATTTTTATTAAAAAATAATATTGTAAATAATTTTTAAAAGAAACTAAATATACTTCAGATCAATATTGAGAACCTAATGTTCTTAAAATCCAGAGTTTAAAAACTTTTTTTATTAATTAAAATAAATTTAAACAATATTAATAAAAAAATAAATATTTACTTCCTCTAGATTGTTAAAATATTTTTTATTTTATATCATTTATTTTTTCTTTGAAAAATATTGGATAGTAATTTATTGTAACTAAAGTTAGATTAATAATTAATTTACTTTGGATTACATTTAGAAGAAGCTATTTATTAATAAACAATAAAAATTCTTAATCAATTAAATATTGTTACACGACATTATAAATAAATACAGAACATTTTAATAAAGCAAATAGAATTTTAATTTTCCTCTTATTTGATATTATTTTGTATTTTTCATAAACTATAAACAAATATTTTCTATTTTCATTAAATTTAAATTTAAAAATTTTTTAAATTGTGAATATGTTGGTGAGAGATAGGTAGATATTTCTAACATATTTTTACTCTACTAAAAAATATATAAAATAGTTTTATTCCTTACGTTACAATTTAAATAAAAAGATTAAATATAAATTACATGTTTTAAGTTAAATATTATAAAATTGTTAATAATTAATTAATATATTAGTATTTATTTATTTATTTATTTATTTATTTAGTTAGTTATTTATTTATTTATTTAGTTAGTAATTTAATTATTTATTTATTTATTTTACATTTTGTTAATATTTCTCATCAGATTATACCGAATTTAAAAACTTATTACCAATATATTTATTTATTTATCTATCTATCTATCTGTTTATTTGTTTATTTTCAAATAATATTTACAGGAGTAAATAAATTAGTTGTTTAATTTTTTTATTTATTTTAATTCAATATGTCTTTTGAACAAATCATTTTTGAGCAATTTTTTATTATCAAAGGGTTAGATTAATTGCTGATGGATTTGAGTATACAAGTTTAATAAATAAAGAACCAATAAGAGAAATAAGAGCTGTTAGAATGGTGAAACCTAACTACTGAGTCATAGCGACTCCAAAAACTTTGTAAGGATTATCTCTGCTTTAAATGTTAATGTCTAAAATTTGCATTTTACATAATTAAATGTTATCTTTGATTAACTTTTTTAGCTATTTATCTGAGAAATTGTATGATATTTTAGACCTTTGATAATCTTCAATTAATCTTCTAAAACAAGGGTTTGTTATAACATAATCGTCTTAAAACCACAAATCGTATTTGCTAAGTAACTCTACAAAGTTTAACTAATTTGCATATAATTTTTGTATGTGGATGCTAAAATGTTCATTTATTTTGCCTCCCATAAAAACACATTTAATGATAATCATGACAATGCATATTATGTCAAATATATAAAGATAAGCAACATTATTCTCTATATTGAAAAAGTTAATCACTTCAAAGCGTTGCAAGAGGTAGATTACTATTATGATTATGAAGAAGCTTATAAAAATACTAACTAGAATTTAAATTCTTTGTGAAAATTTTTCTCCGTAGTCTAAAGTCATTTTCCGAAGTTAGGCCCATGTTCTTAAAGAAATAGAACAAATGAGTTCTAATGTAGGATAAAGTTTTTTGGTTCCTTCTAATTCAATTTCAACTCTTTTCGGAGAGATCAAGTGACTCATTTAATTTAAAATGAACACCTTTCTTCTTAAGTCATTAAAATAAATTAAAAGGATGCTAATGATCTATCCCCAAAAGGTGAACTCAAAGAAAGCAAAAAAAATATTGACAGCAATTAAATTGGCTAAGTTCATGACATTATTTTCTGCCTACATAACGCATTAGACTTTCACATAAATGAAATATACTTGTCTTACAAATGAAATAGAATATGATACTTTCTTAATCCAATTTGTAGGAAACTAATTACTGTAGTATTTTATGTATTCCACTAAAAGATTTATCCCATAAGGTAGCTAAGTTATATCAAATTTGTTTCCATTATGAGTCAGAATTTGCTTCTTGCGCTCTGGAGCAAGCAGTTTTTAAAATTATTAAGTCGTAGGTTTAGACATAAATTCAAAATAAAAAGAACTAGATTCAACTTCCAAACGTAGCTTGGCATTTTCAATTTCTTCTTTTATTATCTCTTCTGTTTAATATAACCATCCTCCAAATATAGACTCTTTTATATAATCATCTTTCAGTAATTTAGACTTTATTTCCTTCATTTTGCTATGCGTATAAAATCCTATTTAATAATAAACATTCTCATTTTTAATAATCAATTATATTTAAAATTAAAAGCTAACTGCTAAAAAAAACCAGCTTTTTAATGAATAATAAAATAAATAAATAAATAAATAAATAAATAAATAAATAAATAAATAAATAAATAGAATGAATGAATGAATAAATTAATAAATGGGTGTGTGGATGAATCGTTTTTAGGAAAAAATTACCATATTTAAGAGTCATAACGAGGATTTTGATGATATAAATATATAGAAATGATAGGAAAAAAATAAGGTAGTCGCTTTACAAGGCTTTTGGGATATTGAAGTATATTAGTATACTGATCACATAAAATATAAACTAGAATGCTTAGTAAATGCTAATAAAGCTAAATCCAACAAAACCCATATTATGACAAACTGCCAAGTTTTATTTAAAAGCATATACTATTATCAATACTGAAACAGGTCCAACAAAGCAATAGTACAATATATGATACAAAAGAAATTCTAAAAAAAATAACCACCTGAATTTTAATTTATGAGGCTATGAGCTAAATTTCTTTTTTCTATTTTTAAATTAAAAAAAAATTATTTAATATATATATATATATGTATAACATTTAATTTCAAGTTAAATAAATATTATAATCCACTGTAGAAGATATTAATTAAGCAAGTAAATGAATGAATAAATAAATATTTCCATTATTTTTATAAAAATAAAATCTGTTATAAATAAAGGTGTGAAAATGTAAGATAATAAACGAAGATTCACAAATAGTATTTATTATTTATATTACTTTTTTGAGGTTTGAAAAGGTTTGTCTTCAGCTATTGTGGTCTATTGCTATAAATGATTAATAGGTGAGGCTTATGTGTTGCTTTATACTTAAGCAACAGTTGAACTATTTCTTACATACAAATTGCTAGCCAAATTAGTGGATTACCTATTTATTAGCTAACTTTTTATAGAAATTGGATTTGAATTTCTGTATTCAGATTTGGAGATAAGCAAAGTACTATTTTTAAACTTTTAACTATATTCTTTAAGACTTTGTATTGTTTGTTATTTATCAAAAGCATTTGAAGGTGAATTTTGTGATTATTTATCATTCTATTATTGACGGGATTCAATGTTTTAAGAGTTTTAAACTGAAGAATATGACTTCGCTGCTATAGGTAATTCTTCCATTTCATTTTCTTATTGCACTACTTCAGTTTAAAAAAAGATTTCCTCTAGATCTTTATTCTTTTTATCATATTCAGAAAAGTTAGCATCTTATGCAATCAACTTATTTTTTTCTTCCGCAACTTCTACTTCCTCTTCTGAAAAATCACTTGAATCCGAAATCTCAGTTTCTTTATGCTAGTCTTGATATATTTTGAATAACTTCATTAAAATAAATTATTTGTGAAATGATAGCTTACTTTTTTTATATTTTTTGTTTAAATAAGTCATATTTTTGAAGCCAACATTTCCAATTAAGAGCAAGGCTAAAGTAGGTCCTTCTTCAATTTCCTCAGGATTATTGACCATAGACTCTTTAGACATATGAACTTACTATAATTGCTCCTATTAAACATATTTTTCTGATTTAGATGCTATTTTTTTGATTGAAGGTATTTTATCTTTCTAAACGTACTGCATGTCTTCATGCATTTTAATTGTAAATGTGCAATATTTATTTATTTATTTGTATTAATATATTTATTATTTGATTGATAGAGTGAATGAATATTATTTGAGTAGGTCTAATCGATGATTTCTATTAATAAAATCTATATAATTGATTAAGCTAAAAAAAGTTTTTAAATCTAATTGACAAAGGTTTATAGTGTGGTAATAGCCTTTGATTGTAAATATATGTATCTTTAAATTAAAGAACTCTTGGTTCAATCTATTTCAAATAAACAGAGATAATTTGATTTAAATTTATTAATCAAATACCGAATATTTATTTTTAAATAATTATCTAAACATTCTAATATTTCTTAATCAAATCAAAAAGAATAAATTCTTATTAATTTTATTAGAAAAATCAACTAAGAAAAAAAATAAAATTTGGCATATTAATTGATCTAATTATGATGTTTTTATTTCTAGAAAAGTTTTACATAATATTATCGTTGATAAGAAAATATAATCGCTTACATTCGCTAGTTAACCTTTAACCTGTAAAGAGTATATTGCTTAAAACTAATAATAAATAAAATAATTCAAACTTTTCATTTTGTTTAATATTTTAAAGCAGGTACAAGCAACACTGATATAAACTATTTGAATCTTATTCCTATGAATTTAATTTCTTCTCTAAAGAAACTCCTTACATTTAAAAGAAAAAAATTATAACCATTAATTTTCAAATATAATTTATTTGTTAATCTTACCAATTATCATTTCACTATTTATAGATTTTCTTTACTTAATTATATGATTAATGAGATAATATATTAGTCTATCTACATATACCTGAATTATTGAGCTGAATACTAAAAATAAATCAATAAAATCTTTTGTTTTAATATCACTTTGTAATGAAAATTAAATACTGAATGATTATAATTTGATAAAAATGAGATTTGCTTATTAAAAATTTAGATATTTATTTAATAAAAAACTACAATTAATCACAGATTTAAATATACTTCAATATTTAATAATGACACCCTCTTTCTATTTAAATTCTTTATGGAAGAGAATCAATAACAGTTTTTTATTATTTACTTGACTTTTTCAGAAGTTTAAAAGCTTTTTCAAATAGTTTATACATTTAATCTTGATTTTTAATCTATCAAAATAAGACTTATTCGGTTTAAAATTTTTAATGGCTAAAAAAATTATTTTTGCGTGAATAATAAATGGAAAATATTAAATCATTGAAATCTATTTTATTTTTAGAAAACCAAATAAATTATTAATTATAAAATGAAAATGAATTTTATTTAGATTTAAATTTTAATTAGTAAAATATTAACTTATGTAAATTAAATTAAAATTAATGAAATATAATAAATCAATTTAACTAATATTAAATAATTTATTAAATTTTCTTGTGTTTATTCTTCACACAATTCATTTTATTTTAATTATTTAATTTAATTTAATTATTATTAATTCAACAATATTTATTAGAAATAAATACAATTAATTAATTAATTAATTTTAAGGTTATTAACTAACATATTATTTCAATTTTATTTCTTCTTATCAGTGATAGCTGATTTTGATTCCTAATTAATTTGCTTTGGCTTTTGTTCAAAGACAGTTAGATGGTGATTGCTTAAGAAGGAATAACCAATGACAGTATTCATGAAGAAGAATAGAATGGAGCTCAACCAAATTTCGAAAAACACGTTTTCTCCTTTCAATTCCAAAAAGTAAGAACCCAAATTCCACAAGAGTTCGCTAATAAACCAAAGAACCCAGATTAAAAGCAATTTGCCCTTTTTCTTAAGATAGAGGTCGTTGTTTGCTAAGACAATAGGCATTAAACTCATGTACCAAATAAAGTACTAGGCAGTGCATACTTTATTAAATATAACAAACATGAAAGTTTGGATGAATAAACAGAATGGCAAATCCTTGTAAAACTTAAAGCCTGCTAAGAAAACCAAGAAGAACTATGGGATAAAGGCCAATGCAGCTTAAATCTTAGAAACACCTTCAAAGTTTAGATAGATGTAATAGAAGTAAACTGAGAAATTATGACGATTGTCTTTACGGATAAAGTGGTAGAGATAAGTTTCATATAAGAATATCCAGCCATACTTTTAGTAGAAATAAGCAACAGAAAGGATGAAAACAGAAGCACTTATCAAAGTAAAAACAATTCTATTCTTAGTGAAGAAATTCTTCATGTCAAAAATACCTCTTGACTTTTCATGATCTATGTAAAGATACATTGGAAGAGCATAAATAATAGGATATATCTTAAAATGAACTGATAAGCCAAAAGCTATAGCGGCTAAAACGTATCTTTTCTTCAAAAGCAAATAAACAGTGACTAAAACCAAATAGGAAATCATTGTATCTGCATTGCCTCTGGTGGAGACGTTAAAAATGATTGGATTAAAGAACCAAATACAAGTCAACTTGTTGATTGTGCCGTCGTTCAAATTTGTGGATGTTTTTAATATCTTTTCAATTAAGTAGCCAGCCAAAATATCAAAAATAATGAACAAGCATTTTCCAAAATTCTTATAATACCACTCGCATGGGATCATCATATATGCTAATATTGGAGTATATCTATAAGTGTGACGGTCATAAGGAGTACCACCTTAAAGAACATATTTTGCTGCATCAGTGTATACAGAATAATCTAAATCAGTATATTTCAAATTATAATAATAATCTTGAAATTCAGCGATAAATAACAACCCGAATCTCAGCAACGAGCCAAACAAAACTGCTTTCGAAACTAATCCCATCTAATTTTCTTTCCTAGTTTTCTTTCTAAATATATTTTATTATTTAAAAAATATTTTTTCGCTTTTTTGCTAAATATATTTTATGTTCTTCTTTCTACCTATAAAGCAAATATGCTTTTTCTCAATTATTTTATTTATAAGAATAAAATTCTTCTTCTTTTTAAATTCCTAATAATATCTTTTCCCTGCAAATTTGATTATTTCTTGTTCGCTGTCCTTTTAAATTTCCTATCTTCTGCTAATTAATTAATTAACTAACTAAATAACTAACTAATCATATAAATAAATACTAATAAATATCTTAGGAGTCTAAAGTGCCATTCTCTAAAATAAAATAAAGATAATCCATTCAATATTGATTAATAGATAAATTATAAATATTAAAAATACTTAATCACTCACTCAGTCATAAGCTTTTATAAATATTTATTTTATTTTTTTAAATTGCAAAACATTATCACCAAAATCTAATTAAAATATTCAATAACAATTAATTTATTTTTGAATTTCAAATATATAAAATGTAAGAAAGTAAATGAATAAATTAATTTTGAATTTCATTTTATTAATATTAATTATAAAAAAATTAAATAATATCAATCCTCTTTAATTAGCACCAGAGGAATTAAATTAATTATTTTATTTAATAGATGTTAAGTGTATTTAGGATAAATATATAAATACTATAAAAAAATGATTAAAAAAAATAATCCTATAATTTTTTAAAGTTAAATATTTTTCTTATTTATTTTTTAATGAAAGTTAAGTATATCTATCTATTAATATTAGGATAATTTGAATTAAATTTACAGATTATTCAGCTTATTTACAAAAAAAAAACTTTTTAAAACACTTTTCATATTTTTGTAAAAAAAATTATAAATTTAAAATATCAAAAAAAAAAAATTAAAGATTGACTAGATCATTTTCAGCATCCATTTTCACATCTTGCATTTTTTTACTCATATTGATGGATAATATTTAAGATTAAAATATAACTTTCATATAAAAGTTTGGCATTTAAATAATTTAATAAAATGCAATATAACACTAAAAATTTCAAATTATTTGATCATTTTTGGAGAAACCAGAGGGTTTGCTTATGAGGATTTAATTTATTTTAGTCAATTTTATTTTTTTATTTTTTATAAATAATTTATTTACTTACAAAAATATGAATGATATTTAATAATATAAAATCAATAATAAAATCTATCTATCTATTATATTTTAGGTTAAAAACACTTTTTCAAAATATTATATAAATAAATATATAATACTATTCAAACATTTTATATTTATTCATCCTTTTTTTCACCAGTTGTTTATCAAAGGAAACCAATATTAAAGACAACTAATCTTTTTGATTTAAGACACTTACTTATTACCTTGAGTATTTATGAAACATTCATTGAGCTAAACATTTTATAATAAATTTGTGTAAATTTTAAAATAAATATCAAAATAGAATTAACTTTTAAATTAAAAATTATTCTTGAAATTAATAAATAAAATAATTTTAGTGGAATAAAAAAGATAAAAAAATAAAATAAATAAAGCAATCAAATAAATTCACAGAGCTTTTTTATTTTATATTCATTTTTATAGTTTAAAATATCATAATCCAATACAAATAAACTGTTTTTACTCAAGGTAAAGTCTCAAATTTGAGAGATTAATGCAATTTGCTAAAGCAGAACCTAAGCCTGATACACTTTCATCACCAATTCCATTTACACTTTTTAAATATTGAAGAAAAAATATATCATTAAATAGTTAATTAAAGGAAAAAATGAAGAAAAAATATGAAATAATAAGAAATAAATAATAAAAGCAAAAGTTGAAAATAAAATGATGAGCTAAATTAACAAAGAAACAAAGAACAAAAAAAAAGCAAGCACTATAAAAAGAAAAAGAAAAAATTGCTTTATTGTTTTTAATTAGTTTTTATAATTAAAAATATCACAATCCAAAACAAATAAACTGTTTTTACGTAAGATAAAGTGTCAAATTTGAGAGATTAATGCAATTTGCTAAAGCAGAGCCTAAGCCTGATGCACCAATTGCACTAATATTATTCAAACTTTTTAAATATTGAAGAAAAAATATATCATTAAATAGTTAATTAGAAGGAAAGAATGAAGTAAAAATATGAAATAATAAAAAATAAATAAAAAAGCAAAAGTTGAAAATAAAATGATGAGCTAAATTAACAAAGAAAGAACAAAAAAAAGCAAGCACTAAAAAAGAAAAAGAAAAAAGAGCTATATTGTTTTTAATTAGTTTTTATAATTAAAAATATCACAATCCAAAACAAATAAACTGTTTTTACCCAAGATCAAGTGTCAAATTTGAGAGATTAATGCAATTTGCTAAAGCAGAGCCTAAGCCTGATGCACCTTCATCACCAATTTAATTAAAACTTTTTAATTATTGAAAAAAAAATATATCATTAAATAGTTAATTAGAAGGAAATAATGAAGAAAAAATATGAAATAATAAAAAATAAATAAAAAAGCAAAAGTTGTAAACAAAATTATGAGCTAAATTAACAAAGAAAGAACAAAAAAAAAGCAAGCACTATAAAAAGAAAAAGAAAAAAGAGCTTTATTGTTTTTAATTAGTTTTTATAATTAAAAATATCACAATCCAAAACAAATAAACTGTTTTTACCTAAGATTAAGTGTCAAATTTGAGAGATTAATGCAATTTGCTAAAGCAGAACCTAAGCCTGTTGCACCAATTGCACCAATTTGATAGTTACTTTTTAAATATTGAAGAAAAAAATATATTATTAAATAGTTAATTAGAAAGA